GTCAGCCCAAAGACCACTTCAGGGGGAAAAAAAAAAAAAGGCAAATCATATTTTAATACACCTTTAATAATTTAATATAGCATTAATACTTTTTTTCGTCTAAAGGAAATGTTTCAAGACAGTGGCAAAAATGAAGGACAGCGACCTATGATCTGAGCAACAATTGAGCACTTATTCAAAAACCTCACAGAGGTTAAAACATAAAGCAGTGTTTTTGAAGTGTCTGAATTTCAAACAATACTTCAAAGTTCAAAGTTTGTCTAACTAGGTATTTCAGAAATGGTTGAAAACCAGAATCAAAACTCATCAGCTCCCTCTCACAGCATCCATTTACAACAACTGATATCCTGGAGATGAAGTTGAAGCATGTTGCATGAGACTAAAGAAAGCTCAGTAAAGTTTTTGCAGTTTAAGAAAAAGATCTTCAAGTATTCTTTTGGGATAAGGACCATTCTGAAAAGAAATTTTAAGGTAAGTTCCAAAGACAAATTATGTAAAAAACCACTCCTGAGAATTGGAAAGACACGATGTAGAATATTCACGAGAATATTCTCAGTTGCCTGAGGACAAGTTGCTCGACTAAGGTCTTATTTTTATACTGAATAAAACAATTCATGCAATTCAACTTTTTTACATTTGAATTCAACAGTTACTTGAAAGGCACCCAGTGCGCTACCAGGTGTCCTATCAAAGGAGGAAAGCTTTGTGCATCTCAAAGCCTTCCTGGTGTAAGTTGGTCAGGCAGACACCAGCGCTGCTGCCATTTTTGCTTCGTACCACGTCAGACTATTCTTAGTTTCAAGCTCTGAAACTCAAGTGGAGCAAAATTAAGAAAATTTGTCCGTGGGACACCAAGGGCGTTAAGTTAAGGATAACAAATGAACAGATTTTCATCCAACTTCCCTGAAAATCCTGGCAAAAGGAATCGAGATACACTGCCAACCTCTGCTCTCTATGCAGCATTTTCAGAGGACAAACCCAAACAGAGATATAAGGGCCCAAGTCAGAGGAAGCTATTCTTCTCTTCTGCCTCAGGCAGCGTAAAGAAAAGTTCTCTACAACTCCCTCTTCACACAAAACATCTTGTTCCAGACTTAGGCTGGGATATGCCAGGGATCCCCTCAGAATTTCTGTCTTAAGAGTTTTGACAATGAAAATGCTGGGGCACTCTCTCAAAACGGACGTGACAACACTTGCTCCGCTTTCATATGTCCTTAAAAAATCCCAAACAAATGTGCCACATGTGAAAACTGCCTTGATGTTAAATGAAATTACGTAATGTTTGAAGTAAAAGGTCTTCACCTTTCCTTCAGGCAAATGCTGAAATATTTCAAACACAGAACGTGCTGGTGAAACCACATAAGGAATGAAAGGATTTGGACCATCAACCTCAGCTCATGAAAACTTGCCATCTGAAAGCAAGTGTTTCACATTAAAGGTCTGGCCCCTACAGTAGTCAGTTAGTAGCAACCTAAATATAGTGTTTAGAAGCACCTCTTCTGTTTCCTTTTTATTTTTTATAGGAGACGTTAGCCTAGATAATCACAACAGTTCCTCTTGTAAAAATTCAGAAGATCCATGCAACTAGCCTATAAATAAATCCTCCAATCACTTTCCTTCAAACAGATCAGTCATCCCCCCAAAATCTTGTTTGTGAAACACTGGGACAGTAACTCAGAGAAAGGCTTTAGCTGGAAGGCAGGTGATACATAAAGCTAGACCTCCAGAAGGACCCGAAGACATTAGCCCAATCTCCTCTTTAAACAGTTTAGGATAACACACTCAGCTGGCACGTGCACAGTTCCAGGTTAATTCCAGTACCTCAAAAAACACTAGCACCAACTACAGTTGAAAACTAAATTATTATTAAATGCAACCACCTGAAGAATACTCACTTAGATGAGCCTTTACACAACTTGAGGCTTTAACTTCCAGTTAGCACCACTTTACCATGTTTCTCAGCTAATAACAACCCTCAGATTCACCATTAATTCAGTCCTAATTAGCTGACCACATCTCTCAAATATTATCCCCACTAAGTCAACTCGAATAATTGCAGAGTAAGAAATAGACAACTTCCTTGTTTGTTTCAAAATTACCCTAAATGTTCAAGTAACTTCAAATAGGGAATGCAAATGGATACATTCTAGATAAATACTAGACCCTTTCTAGTATTCCTTCTCTAAACGTTTAAGGGGTTAAGCTTTAAGTAAGAAATAATTCAGAAATAAGCCCTACCCTGAAACATTATCATTTACAACCAGTGCTGTTAAGTGAATTTAATCAGTCCCAAATCCAAGCAGACTGGATCCTGATCAACATTACCCTGATTTAATACCACATTATTTCTTATAATTTAGAACTGAAACCAATATGCTAACATGCTCATTACAACTTTGTTCAACTCTTCAATTACATCCTTCTGCAAAAGGTTGTAAGAATTAACCATTACATGGTTACAAGTCACTTCATTAGCCCTAAATTAATAACACCTGGTTTCCAATGGATTTATGACTTGCAATTGATTAGCTCTGATTGAAGCTCTTCTCACAATTGTAACACACAGGGGCTCTCTGTGCTGAGAAGTCTCTGCTAGATGAGACAGGAACTCGGAAGTGGTTTTTCTTTAGTTAGGTCACTAGCCACAGATAGGGTTCTCACAAGGGAGAACGTCATTACCTTTAATGTTTGTGCACCTCTGCCACATTCAAGCAAAATAAGCCATCCAGTTCAAAGACACAGGGGAAAGTAACCTAAATATATTAACCTCAGATTTTTTTTTATTTTTTTTTTTTAAGAAACAAAGCAAACAGAAGACTGACTACTATGCTAAGATCAGGTGATCCTAAAAACAGAAGTCAAGTTTTCACATATCTATGGATTCCTTTTATAATGAGAAAAAGGAAGAATGTACCATGATCAGGAATACTTCTTTGACCTTTTTCAAATGGCTTGTCAGCAAAGTTGTCCAACCATTGCTATATTGCTATAAGTCAACATTTATACATAAACAAGTGAATTCTAACAGCACAGAGGCATTTGACATGTAACAAAGCAAGAAAAGGTAGCTCCGCAGGATAGAACGTTCAAGTCAGAAAGTAAATTTGTCTTCAGCTCAAGAGCTAACATACTACATTTAATAAAACAAACACACGATATGTACACAGTGACACTTAATTCCTAATCCTAATATATCTGATAACCTATGCAAAATTTATAAAGTGCTTCATGGAGGGAAGACCACATTATACCCATTTTACAAATTATTGAGTCATGGAAAGATTAAGCACCTTTCTCAGGGTCATGGAGCAGGTTACTAGCTGAAGTGGAAAAAACACTCAGGGCAGCCAAATCACAGTACTGCATCCTCTTAGTTAAGACAGCCTTCCTTCTCTTAATGGAAAAAAAATAAAAAAAGGACACTGACTCTTTGCTAGTACATCGCTTACATAAAAAGCCAGCAACCACTTGGTGTTTTCCTTCAGGCAAAAGGAGCAGTCCTAACGAAAATGTTCAATCCATTTTATTCCATTTAAAAAACTGTTGCATACAAGATTAGTCAGGTTTGCAGTACTTCTTGACTTGCAAAAACAAAAGTGAACAGAATTAAAATCTAATTTCACAGTCAATTTAAAAAAATTAATTTCCAATTTTTCTACACTGATGTAAACACACTTCAAAGATGTCAATTACAATGCCTTTACAGATATTCCGTGTCCTTCTATTTCTTTTCAATCCCAAATTGGGTTTATTGGCACAAGCAAGTTCATGTCAAAGGAAACCATACATGAGATACCTGTGCTTTTTAAATAGTTACATTTAAAATGTTAACACTGTTTTTACTTAATACTAAAGGCTGTTGAAAAGAACTCTTTCCCTTAACCCTCAATAATTTTAAACAGAAAAATATTTCCTGTTTAAACATTGACATAAATTACGTGACAAATTTAGTTATGAAACTGCAGTTATATTGTTTAAACTTTTTATACTTCACAGAAGAAATGTGGAAATTTAAGAACTCAGCTACTGTACCAAACATGCACATAAATTTCTTAGCTAGATATCTAGAACAAATATTCTGCATCAAAAGCAGCCAGGTATGCACATGGCAATCAAAAGTCACAGCAGGTTTCCAAAATCTGCTTTTTTTCAAACACATCTGACCTCTATGCAAATAATTTACTGTGTGATACCACACAGATGTTCACAAACACCTACTTTCCCCTTTCAACACTGCAAGCATTAACAGAGGATAATTTTTGTCATTTACGTATTCGGGAAATAATATACGGGTTGTTACTTGAAAATACTTCAGTCAATATTGCACAAATAAATATATTTTTTTTGCTTATTTTGATGATCTGCAAAAAAATAAAAATTCAGGACAACGGAATTGTGAAAGTTTGAAAAAAAATATATAGAAAGTTGCTTCTCTACATTATTAGAATTAAAAAAGTATTTTTTTCTTGTGAAGCAGTTAGATGTCCTGTTTGTTTTGCAAGTTAGGAACATTGAAAAAACAAGGTCATACAATGTCGTTCTCATTTTTTGATATAAAAATACGAAGGCATTTAAATGCCTGAAGTAACGACAAAAATACAATTTTGCTGATTTTTACAATGAAATTATATGCTACTTTTTAAGCTTAGGGATTTTTTTTCAAATAGCCTTTATTATATCAAATAAAGTAAGGATTCTATTTATACAGAACGACTCAAGTAATAAAATGGAGCCCATATTCCTTAAGACAAGATGCATTCACGCCTCTCCCACTGGAGAGATTGGTTCAACAATTTTACAGTTAAACAGAATTAATTCTACTCTCAAAAATCCATTGACCTTAAGCTTTTAACAAACATTTTCAACTGCAGAGTGTATTGTCAATATTTACAAATTCTTAAAATTATATTTCACTAGAACAGCCTTTATTTGCTGTATTAATATTTCCTTGCAAATGTATGCTTATCCATATCAAAGAAGAAGAAACAGCTGCTACTCACAGGAAATCTCTGGGGTCCTACGGCAGGTCTTGGCTGGGCTGGAACTGGCAGCAAGGGCACTGAAACAAGAAGCACCTTTTAACACCATTTGTTTTACCTAACAGTTGTTGCTGTTATTTCCAAAAGTGGTTGCAGTAAGAAGCCACGATTAAAATCTGCTACATTTACCCTCGCATGTCACAGCTCCTACGATTAACTTTAAGCAACCATTCCCTCCCCCACAACATGCAACAGGGCAATTAGGATTCTCCTAGTTCATTTACATAATTTGATTCTGCATTCTCCAGAATGAGATTGCTTCTTGTTTCAGGAAGGAAAAAAAAACAGTATGTATTCAGCCAAAGGTATGTCTCAGACAAAGCTGACACGGACTCTTAACAATAATCTCATGTTTCAAACAGGAGGACACGTAATTAACTCACCTTCTCAACTTAGTGCCCCTCATTTCCTAAGTATCTCCCAGTCTCACCACCTACTTCCCATAGCAAACACTGGCATCAAAAAAGCTATCTGGCATAAATCACTGTTCACGGAAGGGTAAAAGGAGGCAGGTAGCAGCAATTAAGAGCAAGATCCTCTTAATGTGGCTTTGTCACTATAATGGTGCATGCAACCGCAGTCATAGTTTGTGTAATCGCAACTGCTGATCTCAGAAGGTAGACTTGTATTTCATAAAGATGAAAAATAACGACAGTTTTCCTGAAAAATAACTTCTCCAAAATTAGGAGTTCGGAGACTAACGTGGATGACATGTTCACATAACTTTTTTCTGTTTTCTTGAAATGCAATGTCCCAAAACAACCACTTAAAATGATGGCATAATGCACAAATTAACTACAGCCGGATCACCCTGGGAACTCAATCTTTATGAGAATCCCTAGCACTAAGTCTAATAACAGATTTTCCATTTTTCCTTTTTTTTTTTATCTTTGTATTGTCTAAATGGTTAGAAGTACAAATATGTCCATTTTAGACAAAAGGTCTGCAGAAGTTAAATAAAGCATTTCAATTAAACAGCACCGGATGAGTTTGTTCATTTATCAAAAACTTTAAGGCTGTTTTTCTTCGATCTGTGCTTAGCATTTGAAAACAATAGGGAAAATGTTTCCCACACAGGGTTAAACACTGACTTTGTAGACAACTGCATGACACTTGAGAGCAGGAAAGGTGTTAAGAGATGTACCCTTCTCCCTTAACTAGCTCTATTTCACAACACAATTTTCTAATATACCTCAAAAAATTCCTTTTTCTTCAGTAACACAGGCACAAGAGCTAATGCATTAGCAACTATTTTTAGCTCATGTTCATGTCTGCCTTCTATCCACTGTTAATTACCTGCAGTTTACTACTTCATGGGCTGAAGGGGTAAACTACGTGCACCAATCTTTCAGCTCTGAAAGACTGTGTGCAAACTTCTGATCAGGTTACATGAGAAAATTAGTCAGTCTCATTGTGGTTTCTAACGAACATCTGTCAGTATTGCACAGCCATGACCACTTAAAAAAATTGACAGCATGCTCTTGACAGACCAAGGACTAAAATAGCTCAGGTCAGAGGCAGGTCTGAGAAAAATCACATAAGGTGGGAAATGCAGAGAAACTTCATCCATACAGCGCACTTGTGTCTATTTCAGTATCCTGCCTGTGGCAGGAGCATATAGAGAGTTATATATTTTTAAACAAACTAATTTAATACCCATGAAAGATAGTTCAAACTCAGCACCCTTTCAGTCCTTGGACACCTGCTGAAGCAGCAAAGAATTCTCAAATAGGCATTCATTTCTTCAACATGAAATCTTCCACAGGTTTGAAAGGTATGTTTCAAACACATGTTGTTCGATGCCATTTTAAGAGGATTAATTTGATTTTAGCTGTAAATTTCAAGGCTATACCTGAAAAGATGGAGCAGCAATTCCCATATTAATGATTTAGAAGAATTATAATTTTTCCCAGGATGCCAGTTTTTAAAAAGTTAAATGGCACAATAATCCACTGAGCTGCCACAAACCGCTCATCAGTAGCTCCTGTCAATTTTGGCAGCACCACAGTATCCTTGAAATAGTTATTTGTGGTGTAAACATCAAGGGGAAAAAACATTCAATACCTAAATCACAGCCTGTACTAGTATTTCATAGTGTGTCTACTTGCACTTTGTTGTCCTCCAGTATTTGGAAATTGATCCGACTCAAATTTGGACATGCACTCAGCCAAAAATCTCCTCTTACAACTCAAAACTAATTTACAAAATGGGACGCACAGAAAAGAGAAAATTTTGACAGGTAATCAACAGAAAGACATGGGATTCAAATGCCACAAAAGGCACAACTGAAGACTAACTGAACACTATCTGCAGCAGGTGTGAACAGACGCTCATATAACCATTAAGGTTTCTGACAGACTGAGTCCTTCTTAATCATTTATGAAGCTTCAAAGACTAAAAAAATATTAGAAATTTGTTTGAAAAAATGACTTGACAGAAAGCAACTACTGGGTGTTTTTTTTTTTTTGAACCTAGATACAAGGAGATTTGCCATTGAGACAAAGAAATAAGCCAATAAAAGGATTCTTCAAGAGTGTTTCAACTCACTTTCAGGCTGGAGTAGCTGGCTACAGAAGACCTCATATATGCTATTTTATTCAAATGAAAATTTAATGACAATTTACAGGTTTTAGTCTATTTTAGAAAATACTGATATACTGAATGCATTTCAAGATGAACTCAGGCCAAAAGGATGTTGAGAAAGAATATTTCAATGATTTGCAAGTTAGAACAAATGCCCTTAGTGCACTTAGTGCAGACAATTGAAATTATGTGGACTTATTCCTGCCATAAAATTAGAGAGGTAAAAAATGCCAGTGTACCTGAAAACACGACAGCACACCATTAAAAATAAGGGAATCTACGTGTCTGTATCATGCACTTCCAGACATGGCATTTTGACTTCCAGGCATCACATTCTAAACAACAGAATCCAAATAAACTTTGTGTCTGACTCTATTCTCTGATATGTAAACAAATCCTTGTATCTGGAAATAGATTTTGTTGAGAAGGGGCAGGATATCATCAAGAACATGAAATTACTCTTATCTCTTTCATAGTTCCCGTTACCCTTAAATAAATGCTGCTGTGTGATAAACATGCTGGTGTTGTGAGCTACCAGGCATTAAACTCAGCAAGATTTTTTTAAGAAGTTTAGAACTGTTATCTCTACTCTGGAATTTCTGTCTACCATTTGCATGCCTACACTGAAAATGCTTAAAAATTCATCAGAAAATGCTTAAAAATTCATCTGTTATGATTTTAGAATTATGCTAATCTTCCTTGAAGAACATAACCTGATGCCCTACATATCTTCCTTCGGTGTGTAAATGTAGACTTTCATTTAACATAACTCTACTACTGTTTGATGAGATAGCCACTTCTAACAGCCACTGCAGAAGACTGACTGCTCACTAATTAAGAAGCTAGATTTAAATCACTAGAATTTTAACAATTGCACTGAACAGTATGCTGCACACCTAGCAGCAGAAATATTCTGTAGTCTTGCAGAGGATCCTTTCAGTAAAAACAGATGGCGCTAAGTTATTTCATATGAAAAACATTTCATATGAACCCTTTGCCAAGACCTTTCTCACTGCCACACAGGTCTTCTACCATTTTAAAACAGATCACTTCTGGGGCTGTTTGTTCTGAGAGGATGACTACCAGTCAAGGAAAGTATGTGCACACAAAGTCAGCAAGTGTAAATTATAAAAATAGGAAAAAAAAACATACAGCAGCCTACAAATCCAATATTGAAGATCTATTAACATGCAGGTATGCAATTTGGTTAAAATTAGGATCAAATTAGGCAAATTAATAGAGAAAGAAAAGACTATGTTCAAGATAAAGGCAAGGTCTCTAGCATGCCAAACATACTTATCACAGACACTGTGGTAAGACTGAGACAAGACTGAAGCACCTTAATTACATGACAAAGCAACTCATACGAAAGAAAGAAGACGCACTGCTGCACTTCTGACATTGGGCAAAAACAAAAATCCCAGTAGCCATTACTAGCATTAGGAAGAAATCTGTTCACGTATATGAAGGAGATGCATCAATTGTTTCACAGGCCGAGAACAGGCATCTAGAATAGCCTAAAAACTATTTTTGCTTTTCACAAAGCAAGAACTGTTGCTTTGGAAATGTTAGTCAAATGCACAGAAGGCATACATCCAAGACTAAAGGATCTTTTGGACTGCTTCCAGATAATCTGTCCTGATGCATAATTTGATGGGAAGCACTGATTTTATTAGACAGGAAAAAGTGAAATAATCTCTACGAAGCAGCTACTGTGAACCCATCTGTGAGAAGCCTAACAGATTTCTATCAACTGGCAATATCCTACCCTGCCAAATTCCTACCTTTCAGTGGGCAAATAAATGAAGCAAAGATAACACTGGCTCGGAGTTCTGCTGATTCAAAGGAGGGAAAAAAATACAGAAAACCTAATGGTAAATACACATCCGCTTGTTTTGCTTCGTCTAGTTCCAACTGAATCACGAGTCAGAGATATATAGGTGCTTTTTCTTTATCCTCTTGGGGATTAAACACTTCCCAAATAAGTAGTAATATTAACAGCTCTGTTTGCTGAGAGCTGCTCTAAGAACTGTAGCCCAAAGGGTGCTTGTATTGAGTTACAGAAAGAGCGTGTACTTGCAGGCTCTGAATCAAATAATCATACATGTGGAACTGAAAGGAGAACTGAAAGCATGTATCTTGTCAAGTGAGGACTGCAGCTTGTACCTTTCACACAGCATTTACAGTTCAAGGACTGTCTTTGTGTATTCTCACTGAACTAGGTGGGCGGTCATTCTGTGACTGCTTGGCTGAACCTAGAATGGTGTGGGAAATTCTGAACTGCAGTATCGATTCTAAACCTAGTATTAAAAACCAACATCCCGCTACTTTAAAAACATTCTCTTTTCAGTTTTATTGTTCTTTAAAGGCTTTCAAGCACTAATGATAAAAAAGTGGAAAAGACTTTACTATTTCTGTTGTTGGATTGCATTCAGCTGAAGTGTATCACTGTCTTTTTTTTTTGTACAAGTTTCTTTTTCACATCTTATTTCTGGCAAAATATTTAAGGAAAAAAATATTAGCCCAAAGCACATCTCCATCAAGAGATAAACAAGGAAACTGTTGCTTCCCTAGCAAAGAGCAAGATGCCTCATATGCTAATGACTGAGAATGTGTTCAGAAAGCTCACCTTGTACAGGCGTCACTACCGTCCCCTTGAAATGTGGGTTTATGTGTATGTTCTTCGGTTGCTGAGGTGTCACTGGTGGTGGAGTCATCATTATTCTAGGTGTTTCTATCTGAGGGGGCATATGTAGCCCTGGAGGAGGAGAAGAATGATGCTGATGCTGTAAAGGAAGCAGAGATTGTAACTGTTGCTGCTGCTGCTGCTGTTGTTGTTGCTGCTGTTGCTGCTGCTGTTGTTGCTGCTGCTGCTGGTGCTGGAACAGACTCCTAACAGGTTGCTGGTGTGTTGGAATTAACCTCTGTGAATGAGTCTAAAGTCAGACAAAAGAATAAAGTCAATAGGCTTTAAAGTTCAAATAACCTGACATAAACCAGAACAAAATTAAGACACCTTTGGAGAACTGAGGCCAAGCATGAATGGAAAAAAACTTTCCTATAACATTAAATCAAGTGGAACTGTTAAGATCCATCAGCACAGGAAAGCAAAGGAACAATCAGTCAAGAACAATAATGTGAAGAAGATGGCAAAGTGCAAGAAAAAGACAAAATTTTGCAACTGAGTATGAGTAGTGCCTAGGGTGCACATAGAGAATGTTACCAGAACACATTCATTTGTTCATGTACTTCTAACAGTGAAACTTCCTAATCTCATAGGTTAAGGTTCTGTATATGCCAATGGAAACTGCCATCAACCACAAGTACAATGCACTGAAATATGAGGCCCAGTATCATCAAGCTGCTTTACAGATACCTTGAAAGGTACTTTTCATAACAAAAAAAGTCTCTTGTTCAGCACTCTCAAACGTGAATAGCCAGTATCTTTTAAATAAAATAAATCAAGATGTTCTTCAGACACGTTCATTTTTCTGGTTCTGAACTCGTTGGTACTATGGGTCAGCCCTAAGCCAGTAACTTTCAAATCGTAGTGCACGAAGAGTCCCAAGCACACAACCTTTTAGTAACAAGGATGTGACACCTGTGTTTTTTTTTTTTTCCCCAGCAGCCACATACATCAAGCAAAGCAGCTACAAAGCATGCACAAGATATTATGATGAGTACAGAAATGTTTACAACATTTAAGATCAAAATAAGTAGCAAAGACTGAAGCAATATAGAAACAATGATTCCACCTTCACTGTTTTAAAACATTCCACTGCAGGGCTCTCAATCACGGAGCCAGCCACCAACTCCTGCTAGCGATCAGCACCTAGAGTTACTGCTGTCAGAAAAAGTCCCCACTGTTTAATACAGATGACCTTGTCCTGCAAAGGCATTCACAATCTTTGTTCTATAATCTCAGCTTCCAGTACACTGTAAGACAGGTAAAACAAGTAAACCTGGGATACCTCTGGATCCTAAACCCACTTTGTTTCGGGACAGAAAAAGTACAGTCTTCTATTCTGTGATACAGAACACAGGCACAAAAAAATAAAAAGTAAAGTTGAATTTAACCTGAAAGCCTAAGAAACTGATTTATCTAGCAGTGATTACTTTCCTTCATTTCTATTTGCCTCCACAGTAGTATGGTAGGAATAAACAGATTTTAAAAATAAAAATTAAAATTAAGGAAGTGTCAGCAAAAAAAATAGTTTAATAAAAACCCAAGAATTATTTCACAGAACCGTTTTTTTTTTTTTAAAGAAATAGTAATGGGAACATATTCAGTCCCACATGTTGCATGTAGAGGACTTCTCAAAGGAATTATCTTTCTCCTCCACATGTATGCAAGGCAATAGAAAGCCTAATTATATGTACATGAGTCAAAATCTGCTTTTCATTTGGAGGCCTTGAGCTTCCTCAAATTGAAGCTGGTAGCAGGACTAATCCCATACTTTTATAATTATCACCTTACGTAAAGCCCACCTTGCCTAACAGTGCCCTGAAAGAGTAAAATGGGAATGTTGGAATACCCATATTCCACCTTCATAATGATTCACGACTTGGAATGCCTTTCATCATAATTCCTTGCAAGTACAATCAAAGAATACTAAGGGTTAAAAGGTACCATTGTCGATGGCTGGTTTGGCAGCAGTGCAGGCCTATGCTCCTTCATTCTTCCCCTATCGTTATTGTCTCTCCTTTGTTCTCCCATTCCATGGCACATGACTGAGCCTCCTCTTCGCCCTCCTCTCCTTGAGCCATACCGTCCTTGTTTAAGCTGCCTTTCCCTTTCTTCGAATTCAAGTAATGCTGCTTTGGCTTCTGCAGAAAGTTCTGTTAAAAAAGAAAAGAGAAAAATATTTTAGTTTCAAGCTGAAAACACAGGAAATACCACGAAAAACACTAAAACTACACAAGCATCCCTGCAACTTAACAGAATTTGCAGGCACTTTGATCTCCTTTAGGTGGCATGTTAACATTTCATTAAAGACACCTTCGACAGCAAAAACCATGCAGATACTTGTGCCTGGTGCACAGGCAAAAACTGGCAGGTGAATGAAACAAACATGAACAAAAAGGTTTGTTTTTCCTCTCACTTAGCCGCAGAAATGTCAGGCAGCAAAATGAAAGCCCAAGCAAACTCTACTGTCAAGGATATGTTGAGTCTTCCATAAAAACAGATTTTACCCACCAGAATGTTTTGCACACGGGCGTACTCCAAAGAAGGACTTGCTGGTCGATGAGGTGTTTTTTGCAGTAACTGCTTGTTATTTTCTCTCATGTACGCGGCTGAAGAACCAACTGTGCTTCACAAGTGATAATGCTACTTGGAGCACACTTTAAATTGTGTGCTCAGCTCAAGTCAAATACATAACCACCAACACCCACCCAATCCACACGACAGGCAGACACCAGAGAACAGATGGCACCCCACAAAAACTGCCAAGTTTGTTTGAAATCTGGGACGATGCTGATAAAATTAAGAGAAAACTATGTAGTTACAGACCCAGGTAATAAAGTTACTTGTAAAGAAAATCCAAAACAGAATTCAGCAAGCACACTGTGGCACTAGCCGCAGTGCCACTCACCAGGTTTTGGTTATTTAATGGGGATAAACTTGAACCCAGACTTGCAGCTGAGCATTTTGCCATGTGCCAGCCACGTCCCTTGTTACCTCTGAAACCGACTTACGCAGTTAACAGTAAAAAATTAAACTAGTCTACAAGAAACACGTTCCTGACCTATAAAAACGTATTTTGAATTCATATGAATAACAATTAGTGCAAGAATCCTGTTTTTCCATTAAAATGAAGTCTGCTCGTAAAGGAATCCGGGTACAGAGACCAATTTTTCAGGACAGATTGGTTACTTGCTAATACTACAAGTAAAAGCTACAACATTGGAAGATCAATAAAATACTTCTCATTTCACAGCACTCCTAAGGCAGCTATAAGACACTATGAAACCTCTGTGCAGCTACACATCCTCCATCAGGAATATATAATTACAGAAATAGAAAATTATTAACATTTCTTGCCAGTGCAATAGCCAAAGCTACTGAACCACCACCTTAAATATCTTTATAAGTAATCTCAGTCAGTCTTTGAAGCTGAGGATTGACAAAAGGGCACGGAAGGGTAAGAACAGCATAGTCCTGCTGCCGCAATTGTTCTTACCTGGCTACCTGAAGGTACTATCTGCACAACGGAGCTGCAAGCTGTCAATTTGCATGTCCCACTTTTCAGAGGTGTTCAACACCTGCAGAAAGCTGGTGCTACTCGGTTCTTGAAAGAAAAGCTTAGAACTTGCTGACAATCCATGAACACAGCAAACACGACAGACTGCCTAAAATTCCAGGATCTGCCTGTTTGCTGTTCCATTTCTGCATGTTGGTGCTATGTTTCTCTGCCTCCCTTCATTTCCCCTCTCTGACACTAGAATTAAGTGACATAAAAGCTCAAGTTACAATTGCATCGGATGTTCTTACAAGATGCTACTTCTGCCCTACTACTGCCTCAGGAGATCAGCAGAGCCCCAGACGATCAGGAAAACCTTGGCATGCTTAGACAAGGGGCAAGGAATCACATTCCCTGAAGTCTTTGTATGGTATTAAATGTGCACACTGTATTAGCAAGGAAAATTAAGATAACCATCCTCTCATCCAATGCAATCTAAAGCATTGTATGTGCCTAGAACAGTCACCCTAGCTATCCTTTGCTGTCAGTGATGGAAAAAGCTGGGTTAATGGAAAAAACAGAGCTCTTATTCCAAGCCTCCTTTCCGTCCATGCCTGAAGCAACTTCACAGGTTTACAAGTGTGAAAGGGCTGACACTGGCTGTTGGCTGGTCTGCAGGAATGAATGCTCACTGACTACCATATACTTAGACATAATGCCACTGCACTGCAACAACTCTCCTTCCTTTAACCAGAGGGGATCCAAATCCTGCAGAGCCATCCTGGGCATGTTGCCAGTTGGAAAGTTTTCTCTTATTTCACCAAGAACAGGACAAGCAGGATATTTTTTTTCCTGCTATTTTCCACACTACAATCCTGAACTCATGTTAGTTTGGAAAGCAATGTTCAGTCACTGCAGCAAGTACCTATCACTATTCATTCAAAACACTGTTAAACAGCTTAAAAGTCACATGTGAGGAAAGCAAACACCCAGGAAGACAGCTAGGCTTCCTACAAGACCATGTCTGAATCTCTCAACCTCTTTAGCACACACTGGAGGACACTGAGTAGAAACAATGTTAGAAGGAAGAACAGGTTGCCCCAAACAAAATGACTTCAGAGAGCAATGCTGATTACGGTCTGGGAAGGGATGAGAGCATCCTGGTCAAAATCAGCCTCAATGACCTTACACGCATATGTACATTTCACTCTTCAAAATGAAGACTAAAATTATTTTCCTTCTCATTTTACACAGACGTTCTCAAACTTTTAAAGGCAGTGTCTTCAAATCAGAGCCACTGTATCCAGTTTTACACACAGTTCCACTTTGCCAGATAAAAACTTTGACCTTGGAGAAAAACATCCAACCCAAAACATAATCCCCATGAATTCATGACAGTAAGCACAATTACATACACAGCACATCTCTGACCACAGAAGAACATTATAAACATTTGGTAGGAAGACAAAGGAATATAAAACTACATTAACTCATCAAGCGTATTTCCGTCCACAACATGATGCTGAACGAAACAGTGTACTTGTCAAGAATTTAGCTCACACACAAAATTGAAGGTTTAGAACCTCAGAGACAGGCTACAAAAGTGAAGACTCCTACAGTAAACCAAACTCATTCCCCATGAACACCCCAAGCTCTTCACATTGCTATCCATCACCATGCAACAAAGCACAGACAGCTCAGTTATGAGGTGGGCTGTTTATCCCATTGCAGAGCACTGTGCCACACATGCAAAGACCTAGGAGAAAAAAATAGCATGGAAGATGGTTTTGCAGAGAGGGAAGCAAGGAAACGACTTCCTTGAAAACATCAGACGTTTGCCTAGAAATGAAGTTAGAGGCAGAGGAAGAGAAGATCATTGTTCCCTCTCTAGTCTCTTCCAAAGTACACTCAGGGATTCCCATGACAAGGCCACTGCTTCTCCCTGATTGTGAGCTTGTGTGCATCGTCACCAACACACGCTGGGCCAGGCTGGATGCAGCCCTGTGCCCCCTTGGCCACCAGCTCCTGCCTGAGCCAGCCCTGAACAAAGGTCTCTGCTGCTACACCTGCCCTGGGTAGCTCCTTGTGAGCACAGCAGTTCAGGTGCTTCAGAACCCCGGAATCCCTGTTGTTCTGGGTAACGCACAGATTTACAACATGAATCACATCCCACAACAGCCATAAAAATACACATTCACATATATATGCACATGTGCCATCTGAATTGGGAGGGGTAGTAACTCTTCTCCCAATTTATTTTTTCTCCCCATTATCCAGACTTATAACGTGATCACACCTTGGTCTTTTGTACACAGTGCAACAGGGTAACAGCGAAACCACCCACCTTAATTTCCTAGGCCTGCCTGAAATCTCAGCCACTAGGTATCAGCAAATGTAAACTAAGCGGAACATAACGGGAAATAATTGCACATACATAAACCATTGTTATCAGCTTGCAAGGGAGTCTGCCTAAGCGTAGGGTTTTGTTTGCTTTTTTGTTTTTAATTAGCTACAGAGAGAACAATTCAGTTTGGCAATGCCAGTCTTTTTCTTTTTCTTTGTATTTCTTTATGAGTAGATCCACAGCATAATTACAACACCAACTCGACAACAATTCAATCACCTCCACTGAAAGTTACACGTTTCTCGTCAAAAATGATAAACTCAGCACCTCTAGAAAAATCAATTGCATGGGTGTCCTACAACCCCTCTCCTTCAAATTCCTTATAGCACTGCTGTATCTTGGATAACTGAATATTTAGGAAAAATCTCAGCTACATTTATGCTGAATACACTGTATTTTTGCATGGTTTTACCAGCACACACTTGCTCTAATCTTGACTGTACAGTTCTCTCACATGCACACATTTAATGCAGTGAATCAGCAATTATTTTTCTAGTGTCTCTAAGTGTCAAGATTAATTTCACTATCCCTGGTAATAAAATGGTTTCAAATGACATCTTTAATCAGCAAGTAAGAATGCACTCCTCCAATAGAGACAAGCTGTCACAAAAGGTCACCAAAATGTGACAGGATGGAAATTACGTTTGTAACTTCAACTGAAATGTTAATTTCTCTATAAGTGTTTTCCCAACTATGTTCAGATTTTAAAGTAAGGAGATGTAGCTCTCCAATGAAGTTTCATTTTTAAACCAGTAGTGTCTAAAAACCTATTCTACAATCTCAAAAGCTGATATTTATAGGCAAGGTATTTTTGCTGTTTAACTTTCCACCAGGCAATAGGTCATCTGCTCTCTTATCAAGAAAATAACATAGAGAACTAGACTAAATAGAAATCTTTTCACAACAGCAAGATTTTTGCAAGGACCAGCTACAAAAGCTGTTTACAGATTCACCTACATCTGCATCACCTTTTACATCAAAGCAACATCCCTGATCACCCTCAGAAGTCAGTCTTGTTCTGATCACTGCTCTATTAACAGTCGAGCTCTGTGGTACAGTTTCTCATTGCCTGGTCTCATTTTTACGTTACACTGCTGAGTAAACCCATAGATATATGAAAATGCAGGGAACTGTCATTTACCTTGTAATTACGTGCTGAGATTTAGCTATTCCAACATGCTTTTAAATGATCCTGTTTTGTAAGACCACCAGCACCTTTTGTATAAACAGGATGAAGTCTGTACATGGCATGTACACACAGTTTTATGGTTGAAAACACATTTTGAATGCATCTCCGCCAAAATATCCCTTGCCCATATAGATTATTTTTGTGTCTGAACCGTTCTAGATGGTTCCCTTCAGGCTTATTTTAGTTAGTATCAATACCTGCTTATAAAAAAAAATGTCAACTGAAGGCCTACAATAACACACTTTGCCTGAAACTGCAAGAACTATACAATAAATACAAAAAAAAAGATTAAAAAGATCTTGATTCAAAGTCATGTGCTGATGTGTCTCAGAGCACAACAGGAATACTACTGTGAAAGGCTGGTTCAGCCTTTGCAGTGGACTCCTTGCTGCTCATGAATAAGTCCTCATAGCCACACCACCTTTATTCTAGAGGTAAGGCTCCTCATTTTTCACATGTACAGTAAAAGCCCAAACTGTGCAAGCAAATTAGAGGAGGAGGAGGAGAAGCAACTCAGAGAAAAATCCTTAGAAATGATGCCCATTTTAAGACAAACCTTTTCAGGGAAAGGGAAAATCTGATCAGGACAGGTCCTGGCAATCTGGATAGGTGCTCCAGGAATGTAATTTCAAAATGCCCTGTTGCCCCCAGAGACACTGTCTCACCGGGAAAGAAAGCAGAAGCACCCAGCTACCAAGTATGGGCTGCATGGGACCCATCTTACAGCAATCCCGTGTGAGGAACTCACGCCTACAGCCAGGCAAAGCTTAGAAATATCATCACAAGCTATCTTCTCCCAGTGATATCTGGCAATTAGCCAAAACTAAGTGACAATGTGCCTTCATTACCAGTTCAACTCTCTCTCTTGCATACCTTGATTCTCTTCAAAAGATCTGACCTTTTAATTTGATACTCTGGCTCAACACCGAAACTATGAGAATAGCACACCCCTCTAAAAGCAAAACTTATCTTCTACTCATCTCACTATCACCATTTTAACTTTTTTTTTTTTTTTTGAGTATTACCACCACTGTAAGCACATCATGAAGGGCAATATGGGTATCCTCAGTAGGACAAGTACATGTCTGAGAGTTTTAAAAACTCCAGGATCAAGTAAATACTCAAGTACCTAAGACACACAACTGGTCTTGAACTCTCAGATGGTCCTGAGCTCTCAAAAAAAAACCAAACCAGTACTGTGCTATTTACAAACTAAAACAGGGCAGTTGCAAGATAGTTCAATATCTACTGCATCTTCTGGAAATAAGTGTCAAATTCATTAACCACATGGAGCTTATGTTACATTACTCCCATATGAAGAAAAGCTACTCTTTTAGATGCTACCTAATAGAATCAAGTCTGTAGGAGACACTCCCATAGTTCCACATTAGAAAACCTGAAAGGAGAACATGGGGTTCTGTATTTTTCTAACACCATAAGCACATTTGCAGATCAGCAAGTTGCAACTTCTCTAGGCCAATCCAACAGGGGGAACGTGATAGGTTTGTAACACACTCACATTCCTAAGTGGAAAAATTGAAAAAAATACAGGTATTTTACAGTGGAACAGAAGTAACAAGATCTGTGTTACAAAGTGAAAATCTTCCAGGCAATAAAGTCTAAAGGAATTCCTTAAATTGCATTCCACCGCAATAAGCAGTGAAACAAAGATCAGACAGCTGCTGTTTGAAAACATGAAAGCTTTTAAAGACACCACACAAGCATCAGTTAACAAACACTGTGCTAGTTTTCAAAATATTGTAAGCTTTAACATTACCACCAAGGAGACGGACACTACAAATGACTTTAGACAATTTGGGTATAGGCCAGTCTAAGTTATAAAAAGGGTATTCCATCTTTTGCCATCGAACTCATTCCTAGAAGTTCTAGAAAGCCTCTTTTAGCTTATTATAGCTCTTCACCATAGTCCACAGAATCTCACCTAAAGTTTCTGGAATGTTTCTCCTTTCTCTTGTCACATCTGAGAGCCTAATTATCGTTCCTTCTTTCCGTTCAGTTTTGAAACGTAATCGTCCAGACTCTTCATCATCATCCTCCTCTTCATCAGATTCCTCTTTTGTCTGGTCTTGAAGTTCCAGAGATTCAATAGCTGCCTGAATCACAAAATACAGAGGATATGCAAACTGAAAAATCTACTTTCTTGTGATCAGTGAGATTCAGAAGACAATGCATTTTTAAATGCCCCTTTGTACAAATTTTACTGGTATTATGTATTATAGAAACTCAATGAATATTAAAGCTTTAGCAACTTAAATATACATATACAATTTATTATATGTTCGGCATCTGTGTAACATCTACTAGAAAAGCTTACTTTGACACAACAGTCTAGGGCAGGGGTAATCTGCAATCAGGACCGCCACCTGATTAGCAGCTGCTTTTGCACACAGAGTGACATTCCGCCACTGAATTGACTAAGATGCAAGCCTGGGACACAACCCAATTCAGGTAATCCAAACACTAAATCATTTTTTTTTTTTAATTTGCTAATAACTGCCAGTAGCATGTTGTAGAAAAAATATAGATAACCTCACACTTCTCAGTTTTATTCCTCCAGGTACACATAATTGTACTTGTCTTTACTTTTTCCACTCCTTGACTATTTCCCAGTTTTAATTCAGCAAATGATGAAGAGAAAAGGATTGCATAAAATTTGAATATACTAAACTTGTATATTGGAATGCTATTCCCTTGTCCTCATTTACTTTCCAATTCTCTCTGTAACAGAGAACATTTATTCAAATGAAAATTCCCAAATGAAAATGGATTCCTCACCTTCAAATTAAAATATATAAATAAATGTCATTGCCCTGTGCTGGCAAGATAAAATTAATGCTCCAAATGTTACACAAGTTATATTTGATTTCTAGAATTGAAAATTAGAAATGTTCTAATACAGTATGATTTTCCATAAAATATTTGGTTACTGTAGATTTGGCTTTTTTTTTTTTGTAGAAGCCTACTTGCTCATTTCTTAGAGCCTGCACATGCAATCTAATTCTTCGTAAAGCTGCTAAATAGATCAGAACTTCTATGTTGCTTGAGGACAGTTAAAAAGTGAGTGAAATGTAACACGCAAGAAATGGTTTAATCTTCTAATTAACCAGATCAGTGCAGTAATTTATATGAAAAAGGCAAAGCGTGTCAGTCATGTAGACAGATACGAAGTCAAACACCAAGAAAGAGAATAAATAGCAGAATAGTAGAAGAGACTGCAGATTCCCTCACAAAAACACAGGAAACAAGATATAGGAAGAGAGAGGATCTGGCAAGACAGTTTCAGCTTTAGAAGACAGCAAACTAAGAACTCAAGCTCAAAGCTTCAGCAGCTTCTACCTGGTAAAGACACAATCTGTGTGCTTAGTTACTGGGCTTTAATGGGCTACTGATCCCACCTTGTTTTCAACCTGCCATCTCTTTATCTCAGATTGTATTGTATCCATTCTAAGCACATATCCAAGCATTGTACTTCCTGACTGTAAAAACGTTTAAAGATATAGCTAACATAATAGTCTACGTTTACACAAAGCTTTAAGCATTATATCTGTTAGAGATATTTTATAAACACACTTTACCATCAAATAGCACAGTTAAAAACAACAGATAGGATCGCAGGCAAAGAAAATCCTTCAAGACTGAAAGAAATGCAAGCCTCAAAAGCAAACCCAAATTGAGAACAACTGGTCTGATTAACATATCCATGGAAAATCAAAGCACCTCAGAGGAAAGGCAGTTGAAACTTGTGGAACAAAGGAGTCATGTTAGAAAGGGAAGATATGTTAACATTGTTTAATAAAAACAAACAACAATTAAAAAGGGGGAGAGAGTGTGTTAGAATTTTACTTTCAAAAGAGAGACTCCCAGAAGGGAAAGGAGTAGCAAAACCTCCATCAAATCTGTTTTAAAATATCATAAAACCCATAATTTTACTGTTCTGATGCTCATCTTTAAGGATTCTCCCTTTAGGATCTCAATTTGGGAGTATGAATCGAAGCAGCTGTTTCATGACACCAACTCTCACTGCTCTGAGCCTCCTGCTTTTACTTCAGAACATAAATCCCAGACACATCCATTTCCTACCTTCGTGCCTCTTTAAAGCTGAGTAAAAAGCGTAATCCCAGCACAAAGCCAGGTCTCAGTTACATAATTTCATCGATGAGTGCAAAACTTACTCATGCAAGGCTCTATGTGTGGCTCAGACTACCGAATGGTTAATGTGGTCTGCACTGTCCTGAGAAATCTTGACGTGGTCTAATGAAATGCTACAGAAAATACCTGTGGAAACTGCTGCCTTTCACTATTTATTTATTCTGGAGGGAAAAAAAAAACATTCTGAAAAAAATTGCAAGTTGTTACAGAGTACATGGTAACTTATTTCCTGTTCAACATTAAGAAAATCTTTATTCAACTTCTCTACACCAGTGTAACTTTATTCTTCTTAGGCACTTATATCAATTCTGTAGTCTTTTGGGTGTTACCTGACATTACTCACCAGCATAATGCTCATACCACCTATAACCAAACAACAGCAACACAGGCGTTAAATATCAAAGACAAAAAAATCAAAGGAGCTAACGAAAAAAAAAAGCACCAAGGAAAGGCAACATTGAGAATGCTAACTGACCCATGTCCAAGTCTGATTATACGTATTATTGAGGGATTTATATTAGCTGCGATGGAGACACAAACATGTCTGACAGCCAACCATATGTTCTCTTCATATAGCTACAGGAAAGGTTATCTGAGCTGTGTAGGAACATACACCCTTCCCCTGTGATTTGTACAATAGTTGTAGCATGCAAGACTTCTTTTGATCATCCTTTCTATCCTTCAGCATAACAGGATGAGTTATTTTCCCAATATTACAGTATATAGATATATAGAAATTCAGACAAAATTCATTCAGGAAAGGACAAGCACAGGCACAGAATTAATAGTACTTACAGGATTCTATTTAATACTAGCTAATCATGAATATCTCTGCATATACATCAACAGTCCTTGAACAGCCACTCGAGGTCACTGGACTAGTCAGCCAAGGCTTCTTAGCAGCTCTTCTCAAAGGGAGCTTAACATTTCCCATTATGACACCTTGTACTAAGCTATCAAAGAGCTTTACTGATTTTTCATTATGAGGAAAAAACAATGACCTTTCCCCTATCACAAGGTCAAAGTTTTCTGCCACACTCATTAGATAATTATGCCATAAATCCCAGTTATTCACCAGAACTCCCCATGCTGGGTTACGAGCTGCTACAGAGCAAGAATGAGTGCTCCTGCCCAAACAGTTTACTATGCAGCTGCAGGACTGATAACAGATATAGAAAGCCCAAGGAAAGCAGGAGAAAACGCTAATCAGTGTGATAAATGCTGATCTTAGCACAGGATCCTAAGCATGGGATTGGCAAACTTTTGCCAGAGTGCTAAAATGCACAAACCAGGCTGAGTGTCATAAGGTTAAACCAGATCCCTTCCACATGGAACGTTACAAACAAGAAACAAAGAACTTCTATGAAATTGTTGGCCTATGGTAGCCTTCAGTTTTTTGCTAACACTGAGGCAGCAGCAGTTGTTCAGTCCTAACAGATCGAGAGATAACAGAGCAGGTAAGATAACGTTACATCTATTCCAAGGAAAAGTCCATTTCACAGATGCAAAATGGGAATAAAAAACAAACCGTTTAAAAAACAAAACGTTTAAAATTAGACTGCTCTGTTTAAAACTTTTTCATCATTTACTTCCAGGCTGAAAGATCTTCAAACTTGAACAAAAGAACTAAAATGCATGAGTTTTGTTTAAACACAGATGGAATAATCTTATGACAAATGCACACATTGGCTTTTTTTGTCTACATTTTATCAAAAAAACAAGTGTGCAGGATTTCTTCATGAAATATGTTCCTGATCAAAGTCCTCATCATTTCTTATCAGCACAAGCAAAGACATGGTTTAAATTTATACAATGAGAACCCCCCCGCCATCATAGACTTCACAGAAGATTAGTTCCAATATTAAAATGACAAAGAAATTTCAAATTTGATTTTAGGTGGTCACATTGTTTTGAATATATCGTAGAAATAATTAGCGATATCATTCTCCTGAAAGTATTTTGGACATAACTCACGTAACTGACAGTTTTACCAAATCTATTTGCTGCTGAAACATCTTGGTATTGAGATTTTCTTTGTACCTTATAAAGGCAAAAACATTTTCTAAAGCACTGCTAGGGTTTTCAAGGAAGTTCCACGAAGACTTATTAATACATAACCCAAGTTCTAAGCACCTTTTCAAATTAAATATCAAGTGAAAAACTATGCCCTGAAACTGATCTAGACAAGGATAAACTTTTCCTGTCCCTCCCTCTCACCTGAGTGCCCCTAATAGGTCTCTCTCCCTTTCCTGCTTCATCACTTTCCCCCATCAAGTTCCAATCCTGTGGCCAGTCAGCTTTTCCCTTGACTTAAAAAAAAAAAATTCTTCATGCAGTATAGTAAGATGCTCTATTTTTGTAATGTGGAAACTGCTTAAAATACAACACTGCAGAACGCTTTTTTCTATCAGCTCTCTCTCCATTATTCAGATGCCAAATCTGCATCCAAAAAGTAACAATGCTGTCTATTTGTACCTCATCTACTACAGCTTTATTCTTGCCCGTATTTTCTGCAGGAGAATGCCAGCGATTACCCTTGTTTACAAGCTGTGAATGTTATGAGATTTAATGAAGAGTCCCTGTTATGTAACATTCAAATAAAAGCAATTGGCGTTGGAGGCCTAAGTGTCACATACAAGAGTGCATGCTTTGCAAAGGTTCTCTTTGTGGTATCCTCATCGGAAGAGTCCAACTGAGAGCCTAAAGACAAGGGTAAATACATCTGGAATAACAGAGGCATTAAAAGATAGTACTATTTTGGAAATAGAAACTGTGGAAATCTGCAAGCCGTAAGAATGAAGTCAGAATGGAGATCAACGGAATAAAGATGCAGCCAGCACCTTGACATTATATAATGAACAAGTTCTCTAAAAGTTCTATTAACTAAGTTAATTAAAAATGTGTTAGTGGTGCACTTCAAATGAAAGGAATTTAACTCTGAATTAGACAAATTTAGACAACATTTATTACAGAACTGACTAGTTTATAGTCTAAAAATGAAGCTGTGCTTTTTTGAAGCAGTCAGTTTGACAGAACAGCTATGTACTTAATTTTACATAATGTACCATGCTCCCAGCATCTCATACAGCCTGTGGCTGAAGACAGAACAAGTGCATCAGACTGCTTATAAAACACCAGGAGGAAACCATTTACCAGTGAATGGACAAAAAATAGATCTCTAAATGCTGTAAAGTTTTTTGGAAGGGTAATTTTATTTTTAGAAAATAAACTACATTTAAGGTATATTTGGTATATAGACTGTCGTGACTGCACATAAAAAGAGTGAACAACATAGGTGGGTTCCTTTCAAGGTGTCTCTGTTCCTCTACCAAACAATGCTGGTTTATCATCATTTTGATGCAACTAAAGAACATCACAGCACACCCATTTGTTAGAACCTTACAGAAAAATGCTGCTTGTCTTTGAGGAATTAATTTCCTGATGAGCTCAGGCTCCAAAGAGGGAACACATTCTGACTACACTTCTCAGCAGGTATTACACTCAATCCTATTTAATTAAGAACTGGATAAAAGTAATATGAAAACAGATTCCTGGTGGGGAAAGGAAAAAAATCCCTTTGCAATCCACACCAAAAGCCTGCTGCAAATTACTAACAGGTATGATACCATTGTTTCAGACTATAATGAGTGAACATATACCTGACAGCTTTTGGCATAAGCTTTCTTCTTGCAAATGATGGAACTCATCTTCTTTCCCAATAAAAGAACTAAAATGAACTTCATAAGAAATTCTGTCCCAACAACAACTTTGTTGGGACAACTTCTTTCAAAACAATCTATCTTTGCCTTTCTGACATACAGAACATTTTATGTTCACGCTCCTCAAAATGGGATACCTGAGAGCTATACACACTTAACAGCAGTGAATTATCTGTCTGGAAAATGATGCACCGTAACTACCTGAGATTTTAAACAGACAACCTAAATACGACGCAGTGTTACTATCATTCTCCTACTGAAAAGCATCCCTGAAGTTTCTAATGCTGAAGCCAAGATGAAATATTGTCACTTTGAGCTCTCCCTTACAATTATCAGCCCAAGGGGCACTTTTTTTTTTTTCTAATTTTTAAATACCAGACAATATAGATGCTATCGCCACTCATCCCACATAAAGAGTAATGACACTAATAATCTAACATTAGCAAAGTTGCATCAGCTCTTACCCACCCATATTCACAATTCCAGAAATTCAAATTCTGAAAAATCATTAATTTGATTGTCCATTAAATTCACCACATACCTCTTCTGATTCATTTGTCATTGTCTGGGGTTCTTCCAGCTCCTCATCAGCTGTATATTCTTGATCTTCCATTGCTTGTTCATTATATGACTGCATGTAATCTTCATCCTAAAAGAATAATGCAGGAAGATGAAAAGACATAGGCAAACTTTACAGAAACACAAACCTGTCAAGAAAAGGTGTCTGTAAGCATTGGTATTGTTACCAGAACTGGAGAGAAGTATTGTATCTATCAACATTCTCAGTTATTAGTGACAGACCATATAAAGTATAATTACCAGGGCTTTTAACTAGACCATTGCAATATTACCAAAATTATAACCACAACATTTTCATATCCCAGCAATGTCATCATAAAGATCCTGTCTATTACTGCTTACCCCATCTACTTCTGTATTTCATATCCTTCGATTACAAATTCATATACCAAAAACTGCTGTAATTTCTTTCCAAAGGAAATATGAACCTATAGTACATATATGGTAATATCAGGTTTTAGCTCATCAAAAATGTAAATATTCTTATAAAATTCTGCAATTATTTGAGTTACATGCTGTACAATTCTGAGCAACTCTGTAAAATTCTCAACAATAACGTAGAGAAAAAGTTTGCTGAGATTTTAAGGCATCTCACTGATCACATACAGTTTTAATTAAAATTGAAACATTTAACTAGCAATTAAAGGCACCATGTGTTCACTAATACACAGTTTAAATTATACCAAATTATGCAGGTGACATTTTCTGAACTAACCTCCAATCTCTTTATTCAGGTTTAGACAGTTCTCACTTACAAAAAGGATGAACAAGCAGGACATCAATCACTTTGGGATATTAGCACCTTAAAGATGTCTTTAGCAGGTCAATAATCTTTTCACCTTCGAAGGACTTTATCAGATCTTGTCTAAAGCCTGGATAAAAGCTTTTGCATTAAGTACTTCTAACAATTGGCAGTGTATCTCCACCACACAAAGCTGTTTTCTTCCTTAAGGATACAATCCTCAAGGTCATGATTCTCAACTGCCTTCCAGCATGACAAAGGAGCATTACCTACCGCCAAACAAGCTGTCAACACAAACTTTGTCACAGCCTAGATAAAGAAACTGGCAGACAGTGATAATAGGTCTAATTTCCCCTACTCCCTAGGGATGTAAACAGATTTCAAATCAGTCTGAAACCCTATGCACATGAAGCAACGTTATCTTTGAAGATACAATAGAAAGAAACTCACTGGAAATTCATCTAGGGGTTCATTGATTTCAAGGTCTAGCACTTCATCATCTTCTCCAGGCTCTTCCCCATATTCTATTTGGTCTTCTGTCAGTTCAGGATCATTGCCTTCATAATGTCCTTCCTCTGCATAGTCTGAAGCATACTCTCCATGTGCTTCAGATTTGCCGTAACCAATTTCATCTTCCCCTTGGTCGTACTCATGTTCTATTGATTCGTCATTGATGGTCTCAGAGAGTTCGTAGGATGTAAGTAAGCCAGACGTACCATCGAGGCTAACTGTGACACCTTGGGAACTATAGTATAGGGGAAAAAGATTCAAAGGTTGAAATATAACAGTCAAGTGTACTCACAAAGACTTAGCAAAACAAAGCCATCAGACATATTCTCTAAGTTGGTAGACAAAATTATACCTCACACACTATTTGACTCCATGCCATACTTTCATAATGCATACCGTCTTGCAGCTTATCACGAACTGCAGGCTATTTGACCAGGGGAATCAAACCAACCAGATGGTTTAACAGGTCAAACTGGCAAAAGTCCTGCTCAGTAACCAAAGCAGGCTGGATTTAATTTTAATTCCAAGACTAACAAAAAGTCCACAAAATTACTAAATTGCATCTGTTTTCCCAATCTCTCAAAATAAACTGGTGAATTAGTTTCTTATTAAATGCATTAATATTGCTCCTTCTTCATTACCTTGAATCTAAACTTATATTTTACAACAGATTTTAATGTTCTACTTAATGTAAAACATACAGTTAAATTTACAAATATATATGTATGGTATGCCTAAGACTTAAAATTAGTAACAGCACTGGCACAGACAATGAAAAAAGCAATCAAAATGAAAAACAGAAAGGTTATTATCTGGAGAAAAAGCAGAACTCAGAATTTACTGTTTACAATAGCTACTGTCATCAACACATAAAAGAGCGAGTCATCAACAGCAGACTAGTTATAAAAGCAGGGAGAAAAAGCTCTTATTGATTTGAGAGTTCTGGGTACAAGGAAAACAACGATTTTTTTTTATTTTTTTTTTTAAATTACATTCCTATTATTTACTATTTTCATAAGTCTGGGGGCACAAGATCCAGGCAGCTTTGAGCAATGTGCATCTATCAGATGGAGAAGATGTAATACAATAACCAAAACATTATGCAGGATTATCATTATACTCCCAACTGCAGAGGAATTGATGAGTTTCAATGGAAACAAAGGGAGAGGAGTGGACCAAGGCTTTCATATCCTGGCAATAAAGCTGCTAAAAATGCAGAGATCTGCCCGCACTGGGTACCACACTCCTGGTACTTCCTCAGCATTAGTGCAGTCATATGGCTATCCCTGCAGCCCACGGCCCAACAAGGAGGAAATCCAGTGGAGAAACAGCAAGGACTAACTGAACTCCCCACATTGAAGGGAATACTTCAACTCTCACTGCTCCAAGGAGGAAAAGAGCAGCTAGTGAAGAGACTGATTGTCTCAATGGTGAGGTATTTCACCCCACCTTCATCAGTCCAATACAGGGAGATGTCCCTAGTCCTAATCCACACCAAGGATAAGAAGGAGATCTCAGAGCGACATGAATGTACTGCTTCAGAACATACACCTGCTCAGCACGACGCATGAAGGAAAAGCAGCCAGGAAAGACAGAGACCATTAAAAGCAGCAGTGATACTACATCATTTCTTCATCACAAGCATCTTCTAATCCCTTTCAGTCCAGCTTGAAATGTGAAACAATCAGAACTTCTATTTTGATTTGTAATGCCCATAATTAAGTGCTGGATCCATATCAAAACAGAGTATTCACAGGGCAGGTTCCTCACTTAACTCCCATGGAAGTACAACCCTGCTCAACCCTACAGGCCCTGTACAAATTTCCTGCTGTGTATTGTACATAAATATTTAAGCCACAGTTCATGCTTTAGAAGCTATGGAGAGCCCCTCCTCAAGGTCTCAGGTGGTAAGATACATTTCTAAATGCAGGATGGCAGGAAAAGAACAAGAGATGAAAGCCTACGACAACAGAAAAAGCACAGAACAAGAGCTCTTTAAGTACTTACAAACAGTTCTAAATAGCATAGGAAATGATACGGTTTCTTCTTTAAGCTTTCTGGATTTTTTTTTTTTTATAGATTTGGGCTACGTTAATTTTATTAGATTCAAATAAATAAGCATCATTTTACTGACACATTAACAATGCCACTGAACACATATATACATACAGTAAGTAGTTGATTGAATAAGAAGCAAAACTAAAAGTATATAACTAGTAACTACTACAGAGTTATTATCAGTAGTAGTAAGTCAAAAACTTATAGGTTATACATATAGCATTATAGTTATTCAAAACACAGGATTTAGAAAAGGTACCCAAATGCGTGCTCCTCTTCATTGTCACTTTGCAGAAGATCGTCGTTCAGCTCCTCATCTGACAAGTCTGACTGATTCTAGGTTTTGGAAAAAGTCAATCATGAGCATAAAATATGGATACAAACTATACAAACTACTTAATGTTCAGAAGTTTTTGTTTGTATTTTAAATGAGGATCTTCAATGAAATTGCCTAATTCAACAAGAAAAATACACCACTCGAGATAACAAATCTCTAAATAAATGTTTGATGGTTGAACATAAATTTCCAAAACTCAGATCTGCCTGGCTATCAAGTCTATTCACTGAGGTTTTTCCAAATATAGCCAAAGATGACAATTCACTTGAAGAAATACCAGGATGAGAGAAAAGTTAACATTATTTAACTGCCCTATGACCCTGATACGTTAGGCAAGTCAGGAAAAAAACAAAGAATTGCTCTTCTTTTTAATGAGCAGATACTTAGGAGCCTGGAGAAATGATATAATGATATTAAGAACACTGACAAAATGTTTATATAATGGTATTAAGAACACTGATAAAGTAGTTTTCAAGCGAATTAAAGAAAGAAGAAAATACTGTGCCTTTTCTGAACTCCTAATTTGTCAAATCATATTTTCAGTTGCTTCATATATTTATTCTGTTTTATTTTGTTTTAAATAATTACACTGTAGGAAGAGATAACTACAGTTTTGCTCAGCAACATTATTTCCATCCCCCTGAAGTAATGGGGGCAGAAAGGTTACACAAGGGTAGACTTATCTAAAAGTACTTGGATGAGATTAAGTAAAAGCAAGTTTAGCCTAAATAGCTCAGGGAAAACTTCCTGAGAAACCTATTATTACTCCACCATTTAAGTCCATACCCAGAGATACTGCTGAGAACTCTGTAAAATTGAAAATAAGACTAGAAAAGCAAAAGAACATGTAATACATTGGAGAAATCTAGTATCGCTTTATATTCATACAGTCAAATTTTAGTAAGTAGCTTTATCAACTTTGTTTCAACCACAAAGATTTAATGTTAAGTGCTTACATTTTTGATAACCAGCAAACTAGTCAACAGGATTTCCTATCTTTAACAGGGATTACTTACAGAATAATTTCACAAAGCTAGCTTCTAACATGTGGAGTGTGAAGCTACATCAATTAAAACTCAACTTTCACCACACCCATGCTTCTTAAACCTATTCATCTCCAGCTACAACTTTAAGAACTATTTTCTAATTGAACTCATTTAGCAGATAAAGAAGGGAAAGAAGTGACCAGCCAGTTTTGATTTCCCTGTCTCTTCCTGCAGGTATCAGGCAAATACAAACAGGCAATCCAATCTTTCATGCAGTTCCATTTTGGAAACACGTATAACAGAGTGGAGAGTCTAAAGCAGTCGTAAGAAAACTCATTTATGTTCTCCAACACTAGCTCTTCCCACATCCTTCCTTTACTGTAGGAAGGAAAATCCTCTGCCTACTTGTTATGTAAAGAAGTAGCAAATGAAGTGCAGTGGGTGGATCTTTAATAGACACCACTGACTGCTTTTTTCATTCACTCACCACCCAGAATGTACCAGAGCACCTCAAACAGATCTCGGTATAACACTGCTGGGAGTGAGCGGCACAACAGTACTGATATTTTGACAAATAGCTTTTAATAGCCAGGAAACTGGCAGTTGAATTCTCAGGAATCCTGACCAGCTGCAAGAAGCATATATATACATACACGCTTTTTATATATATTTATTATTATTTTAATTAAGTCAATCTGAGCTTCGGATAAATTGATTTTAAGAGCCATCTTTTTTTTTCTTTTTTTTTTGGATCTGTGTGGTACAAGGAGAAATGCCACCTCAGGAAAAAAAGTACTAAAATTTTATTAAAATCACCACATTTGGAGGTATTTCACAAAAGCAGCAGAGCTATGGGTTGAAAGTGCTCTAGCAAGACAGCAGATGAGATACCTGAGCAAGGTGGCGCTCAGGCTTCAGGGAGGTGACCATATGATACATAAAAGGCTGTACCAAATAACTGGAGTGGATGAGCTTAACAAGATTCACATTTCAATATCTGTAACAGTTCACTTCAATGCATCTCTCTTACCTTTTTGCCAGCGAGCAAATCCTCTCCAAGCAAATCATCATCAAGCTCACTGGAAAATATTAACAAATTTTGGAAAGATTAACTTAGAAAACAGAAATAAGCACCACACATGACTTAAAAAACTAACTTGAGATTTGTCACTGACTCCACTCAAAGCTTTCCTTTTAACAAAACATTTAGCAAGCTGAAAAGGATGTTAAATGCATCAGACAAAACACATTAATACTGTTGTTGTGCAAAAACTTCATTTTCAGACCATCTCCTTTCCAAATCCCTCTAATTATGACACAGTAAATATACCTAGACAAAGTGCAGACATTTAAGACACAGCTAGATCCTCCTATTCAGAGACATTTGGGCATACTGTCCAAACTGTTGTTCCCACTTCCCCACAGAAGCAGCAGGTAGGACAGTCACATGCTGTAGGCATAACTAAGCCTACAGGCCACTAAGTGGTCCCAGCTTCATTTCAGGAAGGAGGCATCTGGAGGCCACCTGGCTTGGGAGGTGGTAAGGCCTACATCTTTTATAAATGCCCCCAAATTTAGGAGGAAGAAAGGTCAGACATTTGCTGGACCACAGAAACCAAATACATGGCTCAGTACCTCTATGAGAGTAGCTAAGAATTCAGGAAATGAAAATACCTGGCTTACGAAACCTCTTCCAACACACACAGTCTCCTCCATAAAGAGGATGCAACACAAAGAACTAGTCTCACTGTTTAAGATATTAACTACTTAATTTCATTTTGCCTTTAGTCCAGTGCCAGGAATAAAGAGATTCCCCCTTCTACAGAAAATATTTATTACTGACAAATGCTCGTATCAGGACACACACATCCTAACTCTAAAATCAGATGGCAGTGATTTGAAATATGAGCTGTAATTCAAGAACAGGAACCTATTTTAACCTGCATATGTTGGCAGACCTTAAAGAAGAAAAACAACACAGGCCTTGGATATTACATAAAAATTAAATAGCCCCAAAGTGAGAATGGGAACTAAAGATAAGTTTCACTATACTTGAGTCTACAAGAAAAAACATATTTGCTACTCTTTTAAAGCAGCTAAGAGGAAATTCATACTGCTGTAATTATGTGTAAGAGTTCTTTACGATGACACAGGAATACCTGGAATGACACAGAAGCAATTGAGGAAGCCAATCCCAAAACATAAATTAGTACTAGACATTGATAGGCACATGTCTTTAAGACCTAGCTAATGCACAGATAAAGCACGAAAAAAATAGTCTGAGAGAACTGACTGTATTCCACATCGTCACTAAATAGGATATTATCAGCAGCACACAGTGTTTCTCCATACTGATCTCAAACAATTCCAGGAATGTCTGAACATTAACAACCAGCAACTGCTCTGTGTTCACTCCAATATTAAACAAAAATTGGGTCATACGACACATACATCCCAAAGGGTAAAATGGCTAGCATTTAAGCTCTTTATTTCAGAGACAGAAAATTGTACGTAACAGAATGGTTCTGGAAGAGTTTTTAGCCAAACCTGAGGTAGGAAAAAGGCACACTAATCTCTTCAGCACGGAATCAGTAATCTGACAAAAGCACAAAGATTTGAGAAAATTTCCCAGCACTATGGTCCACCGCTGGCAGCTTTTAATAAAGCTGCACGAACGAAATTCAAATAGACAGCAAGAGTGTGGGTTAGGCGTTGGAATGGGCTGCCTAGGAAAGTGGTTGAGTCACCATCCCTGGAGGTCTTTAAAAGACATCTTTTTAAAGATGTAGAGCTCAGTGATATGGTTTAGTGGAGGACTTGTTAGTGTTAGGTCAGAGGTTGGACTCTGTGATCTTGGAGGTCTCTTCCAACCTAGATGATTCTGTGATTCTGTTGTAACAATATTCAAAGACAAAATGCAAATTCAGCTAGGAAGAAGGTCATGCCAGAAGGAATAATAAAGATAATGAAAGATTAAATTCGTTATCTAAATATAGTTAGGGCTATTCAGCATATCACTAAAAAAATCCTTGATGCATTTTTTCTCCCCCCCCCCCCTTTTTTTTTTTTTAGACATTTGGTCAATAGAAATAACTGCATACATACTCTAGATTTTTTAAAAATCTTTGGCTTGCTACATGGCAGACCAAAAAGTTTGTATGATCACATAAATGAAGCCCACGACAACAGAAACAAAGGTTTTCCATACAATGGAATTCACCATTTGCACTGATAATTTAAAAGAAAAGTCAATGTTGGTAACTGCTTGAATTACAGTAACAGTGAAAAGCCTGAACAGTAAAGCAGACATCATCTCAAACTTCTAACATAACTAAATCTGTAGTTATATATCAGAAAAGAGGGACCAGAACTACCAGATCTATTTAAAGAAACAAACAAAACCAAAGAACACAGCTACTAAGAGATCTTCAGTTAGCAGAGAAAACCAGGTGGTTGGAAGCCAATACCATGCAAAGCCATACAAGAAAAATTAAACTGGAATAAAAGCACACATCTGTGACAGTTCCAAAGGCAATCCTCACTATCATCAGAACACAAAGGTCTTTCCAATACTGCAGTTCTAGGAAAACGGGACAAAAATAATCTAGTTCACTGCTCTCAGAAGAGACAGACCCATTGCCTGCCCTTCCTCACCTCCAATACTGAATGTTCCCATCACTGAATAAATTCAGCTCATCAAATTAGGATGAGAAAATAACATGAAAAATGAAACAACAAAAAGGGAGAAGTTATCTTTTTCTTCCAAACATAGAGAAATGAACTGTCTCAGAGGAGGGTCAGAACAAAGAAATTTCTACAAAAATCAACTATTAAATCACTCCTGTCATCTCACAGAATAGCACCAGAACAGCACGTTTTTCCCAAACCCAAGCTTTGGGCTACTTAAGAGAGAGAAATGTTTAAGTTAACAGCCCGTGATAAACACATCAGACTATATGGCCCTTTCTGGCCTCTGATTTCATGAGCATGCCTCATTAAACGCGAGCAGTAGCAAGAACAAGTGTTTTGGAAAAGAATTTATAATAAAAAAGGGTAATGGGAAAAATTCTCCAAGAACAATGTTACATTTGTACTCCAAAATAACAGGGGCCTTCCACCTCTCAGCTATCACCCTCTGGTGTTTGGGAACGAAAAGAGAGCTGGAAACCCAAAATGGTTTAAATGTCTGGGAGACAGGACTCAGTTAAAAAGCAACACATCAGTGATCAACTCTTTTCTAACTGCCTAACTCCCTCACCCTCATTCCCCCCCCTCCCCCCCACCCCCCAAAAAAAAAAAAAAATTAGGTTGCAAGACAAAGCATGAGAGACCAAAAAAAACCAAAAAGGTCTACTGTGTTTATTCAGCTTTTCTCTCCTGCCATATTCAGTAAGGTGTGCCCTATACTGAACCAGGCCAGTAGTTAGAAAAATTAAATTACACTAGGGCAACAACATACCCGGGGGTAAGGCATTTACATCTGCCCAGACAACCACAGAACTTAATACGTCCAAAAGAAAGCCTCGCAATCTAGCAAGAACTATCATTAGAATAATAATAATTCCAACACATTTGCAAATGAAATGATATTCTATCAGATAAAGCTATAAAAAAATATTCTCTCAAATGATCAGCAAGATGAAACTCTGGAATCTCTAGCACTGCACCTAAAACCATTTCCCTTACAACTGCACTCAAGAATAAACAAAACATGATTATTCATTGTTTCTAATTACACGTAGCTAATAATAGCAACAAAAACAAGCACATAAATGAAAGAACTTTCTTCTACAACTGTGCTTCAAAGTCTCAACTTAGTGAAAATGCCCTACAGCCTTCCTCAAGTCCTATAAAAACAGCTTTGTCACAGGGCATTCACCTCCAGCAACAAGTTTACAACTTCTTCCAAAAGAACTGTTGTTTGACTCATCCACATCTTCCACGGCAATAAGAGTAAGGCAGCTGAAAAAAAATGGGACCAACCAACATTTAAAAGCCCACCTATTCACACCATGAAGTCAGTTGTACAGGCAAAAAGTTCAGAAAATCATATTTTAATATAAAAGCATTTGCCTGTGATACAGGCTTTAGTATTCTGGGGTTTACTGTGCTACCTCAAGCATGACACCACAGCTCTGGGGCTGGGAGGCAGCACAGTACAGTGACCTTGCTTAAACACATTATTTTAATTGCATTCTCAAAGCAGATCAGTTCCTTGATGCAGTTTTCACCATTCAACTCGCAAACAACTGTGCTGGCATGACAGTGCAGCAGATATCCCCCAGAGCAGCAGAACAAACTGTACATTCAAGATATCGTCTGAGTTCCTTAGTCATTCTTCCTCACCTCCTACAGCAGTGAAAACTATTTAACCTAGCAGGAAAGCATGGAAGAGGAAACTAATCCCTCTGGAATGACAATAAGCGTACAGTAGCTGGTTCACTCCCAGGGCTCAGCTCAGTGGAAAACTACTTACAGTACAATTTGTTTACCAGAGTCACAGGAGCGATTATTAGATAAGACAAGTTCGATTCCAATTTTTTTCCCCCTTTTTACAGTGAAACACACTGACCACTGGCAAAGTTTGAACAAGCTTCTCTGCTACTAAAAAGGACTAATAATAAAGCAGTTTAACAAGAAGTGAAAAGCTTCCTACCAAAAAGAACAGACAAGTTTAGCCAGCAGCTAGACTCGTCTTTCACAGTCAGAGTGCCTTCACATAAAAGGATATGCATTTATTCTCCCCGAAAATAATCAAGTTACTGCATACTTCTAAATCTTTATAGCAGTTGTATTTTTCAATAGCAGCCTGTACGTAAGCTCAATTACCCTTCAGATTTTGAGAATAAGAATTTAAACATTAAAACCTCTCAAATTCAAGTACCAGACAAAAATCTATTTAAGCTAATCATTAAGACCCTACTAAAGACTTAGAGGAAAAACAAGGCTTTTATTGTAAATTTAATTACACACCACAAATGCTTTATATTTATCTAATTTTAAATGGCATCTCTTCATAGTGCTCTCTAAATTCCTCAAGACAAATATACATTTGGCACAGTCTAGCATCTGCTGACACATGCATAACAACCAACATCTTCATTAGTATCTGAAAGTGCACTACTGTAAATATTAGAATACAAAATGCCAGAACAGCGAAACACAGCGATGTAATACAGAAGCCAAACATGAAAATATTCTACCCACCTGTCCCACTCATCATCTCCAGCTCTTCTTCTCCAAGACCTCTCTGCACCAGGCTTATCAAATTGATCAAAGTCGTCATCTGTAGGGGAAAAAAAAATAAAGGCAACTACATGAAATAATCCTTATTGAAATTCAAGGAGGTTTCTGAAGCAACCACTTCAGTCTGGTTTTGTTTGATTTTTAAGAGGATGCAACGATAATTTTTTCACTTTGTTTTAACGTGAGAGAACCAGATAAATACTGACTTATTTCAATAATTAAAAAAATCATGTAAAAAAGATCATAAAGTTCAAGTACATTGGAGATGAAGGGAATTATGTCTGCCAGTCCTCTGCTCATCTTGGGTGTGACAAGCCTATCATGCCCACACTGAGCTCTTGCAAGAGTACTTAGAAAAAGGCAGCAGCCACCAGGTTGGCACAAGGCAGGGAGGTACCAGCACCCCTCAAAAAAAAGAAAAGGGAAGTCAAGTGTAAAACACCACCAATATCTCAGCTGGGGCATTAAGAAACCTGGAAGCAGGTCACCCTGTACACCTAAGTTTGTACATGCCTTCCAAAATGGGACTGCAGCTCCAAATATTTTTCTCACCAAGTAACCTCAGTTTACTTTGTCAGGTCACAAGTTGTTCTTACGCAGCTTAGTTTTTAAACGACAATTTCACTACTTAAAAAGATGAAATCTTCCGTTTATCTGCAAAAGAAATGCCAGGTTCATCTGCTTTGTGCAGATATGCAGCTGACTCATCACCTGCACATTGGCAACACAACCTTCAGAACCTCAACCTTCACTCTCCCATTCTCTGGCTACAGCCCAACAGAGAAAGCAGACAAGAAATAGTTTTTTCTACCCATTTTAATGACTTGTAAAAGTCAAATAAATAGACTAATAAAAGTTATGCTCAAGACAAAGGGAAACTGTCTGCAGTTTAACGATCTCCAAAATACAGGAAGCCAAACTACCCAGCCCTTCCAGCCTTACAGTCTGAACTGATGAACACTTAGATGCCATACATCCAGTCATTCTCCTGGCTCAATTTGCACTTAAATCTTTGACTAAATACAATACCAATGATAGACTGATCTTTGTGTTTTTGAAGAGCTCTTCAAAAAAAAAAAGTCTTCAGTTCTTTAAACTCAGCTGCAGCATCCTTTGCTGAATATTCCTCACATGCAATGACAAAACTATTCACTTCATATAAGCAAAAAGCAGGTGTTAAGTGACAACAGAAAATTAAAAGGAGGAAAAGACATTAAAATTAAAATTTCTGTTTTGAAAGCTGTTGGTTTAATGATGTTGCCAGAGCTGATTATTTTTTTTTAAATACACAGATATTAAAATAAGACTGCTCAATATGAATGATGATGCCATACAAATCGTGGATGGCAACTCGCTTCTTCTGGAAGAGTAGATAAAAACAATTTCCCCTCGATCATGTTCCCCCCTTACTCCCTGTAGATAATTCTGTATTTTAACAAAGCTTCTATATGTTTGCTAATCTACATGGACTAATACCACTGAAACAAACAGTAACCTTACATTTCTCTGCTCAAACATCTACATATCCCGACCTCCTTCAATTCCTATTCCTTTTCCAACCATAGGGAGAAGCCAGACAGATACGCAACCACTTACTATCTTCTCTTGAACACCAAATTATCCAGTCTTGTGGCCTATAAAAAATGCCACATTGCTCTCCTTACACTCAGAAACATGCTGCAGGGACTGTATTTGTCTACTGCTGTTTTAAGGGCACAAATATCCTGCAGTGTCATTGTTCTTACAGCTGAATTGCAGCAACCACTGACTTGATGTAACCACCTCTAAAGGCGGTTTAAGGTAACATGACTGGGTTTGCAGCAACCCAAAGCAGGAGTGTTTGCACACTAACAGACCTCAAGACAACAACCACCACCTGGAAGGCGGTATCTTCTTAAGCTTTGCCTGCTCCTCGGCAGGAAATTGCAATTTTGCATCCCAGGCACCACTCTTAGGAGTACAGAGCAGTGTATTAGAAACCAACACAACTCAAGGATGGTATCTTAGCTCTGTCGTGACTCAATTCAGCACTAAACTCTTACACAGATGGACCTTCTGCCAGATTTAAACCCAGACAAAGCTACACACCAAAATCTCCTTTTCTGCTGACATTCCTTTACAGCAAAAAAAAGGCTCTTCAATACAATTCACATAACTCTTCTGGGCCTGATAGTTGAGTTTCACTGCTATACAAGTGCTTCAGCTTATGAGCAGTTAAGAATACCAGAAGAGGAACCAAATTCCTGGCATAGACTCCTACTCGGTCAGCAACACAAACCTCCACCCTCCCACCCTCTTATAACTTGTCCAAAACTCTCCCATTCTGCTCTTTATTTAAGAGCAATTCCTACCAAAATCCAAAGCTGCATTCCTTCAAAGCCTTTCTCACAAGCCCCCTCTGGCAGGATGCATACAAAAGCTTCCGAAATAACTGGCTGACCTGCGTGCAGTGAGTGGGGCTCCTAAGAACCACTCCATATACGTCCCCACCACGTCCTTGCTGCCTTCTCTGTCTCATCGCCCACTTACAACACAAAGATTTTGGGGTCAAAGGGAGACAGCTTTTCTTTTGGGGCTTTATACTTGTTTGTTCTGTGACAGCTGACGCAGACAACAAGCATTACAAATTACGCCATTAAGCCCTTGCATATTGTCAGAGCCCAAAGCAGGCCGTACCTGTCCTTCAGAAAAGCAGGTTACAATAGTCATGCGCCTACAAAGAGCATTCAGTTCCAGCGTCGTGGGTTGTGAGATAGCAAGCACTAAAACAGCTACACAGGTGTAAGGCCTTGCTGTCCGCGTGATACCTATAAAACCTCACAGAGGCACCGTTTTATTTTTTTTAATTTCTGAAGCTGTGTTTTTGTTCTGTGTAGGAAATAACATTGGAGAATACCAGTGATCAACAATCAGCATAACATGTATGGATGTTTCTCCTTGAAGGAGTCAATGTTTATGTCACACGTGGTTAAGTGCTCAGAAAATTCATCATCAGTCAGAGCACAAAGCCACTGAGAGCAACAGCCAAACACTTTTTTTTTTTTTAAATTCTCAGTTCTACTGTGTTGGAGGTGAGAAAAGGGAAGGGGGGAAATCTATGCACGTAAGTCTTTTAAGCAGGAAAATGTCCATCACAGGCCATGAAATGTTTTGTACTTCTTCCAGTGGTATCACTGCAGCCTAGGAAGGTAGTTGTACATCACAGCTGTTGGTGAGATTTGCAATGCAATGGCTATGGCTCCTTGTTTAAATGCAACATGGTCACCAAGATGTGCATGGATTAGCAGAGTATCAGCAGCAGGATTCAAACAGGAGCACTAAATACACTGGTGACCCCCCAGGCAACTTCCAGGCAACATTGTAAGGAAAAATCCAAGACCTATCACATACCAAAAAAGCACTGAACAAGGAAGCAGGAAAAACCAGTTATGCAGGAAAAAAAAAAAAAAGAAAAAAGAAATAATCCAACACTTGGTTCTCCCTCACTGCAGTACTAAGAAAAACACTGTTTTAGAAGCTTCAGAAAAGTTGGAACAGAGACTGCCCAATGCTGCCCGCTTTGTTAGACCCGCCTGCCTCCCCAGGCTCTGGGCAGCTGCGAACCTAAGTACAAAGAGTGCCAAACACACTTGGTTCCCTACACTAAGAAGGTTTCTGTTTGCTTTGTACTTACCCTACTGCAGCAACAGCAGTGCTGTAAGCTGTTCTACAGCTTATTTTCTGCTTTTATGATGTATGACCAGAACTGCTCTTTGTTGGTTCTGTTTTATTATTTTTTCCCTGCTTCATAAGAACAGCTCATCCACACTAGAAATCCACAGAATTATTTCTTCTTTGGCTACACGGATGGCAGTTTCCTGCTCCCTGGTCTCCCTTTCAATAAAATTTACGCTAATAATTTTCCATGTAAAATGGAAGCCTGAGCTACACAGTCAAGTCTCACAAGCGTAGGAGGTGAATCAGCAAGAACACTGCAGAGCAGAGCTCTTACACATCTTAAAATGGTACCAGCGTAGCCTAAAAAGGTAGTCCCACATAGCAACTGTTGCTAAGATGGAGTATTTTACTGCAATGAGATGGCCAAAACTTCTCGACTAGGAAAAACAGTTGATGACTGCACTGCTCTTGCTACAAATACACCTGCACGCTTTCCGGAACACTAACTACACCTCATAAACCTCCTAACAGCTCAAAATTTTGTATCTTGGCCCACTTCAATATTTCACTACCATGAATACCAAACTTACTATTGCTTATAGGCACTGAGAAAGCATCAAAGATGTCTCCTTAACCTAAGCAAGATGGAGAAAAGCTATTTCTTGCAACAGTGATCCAATAGTTCAATGGAAAAAAAGCATCACGCTGCTTACCCAACAGGTCTTTTAAAGTAACTATGCTGGACTGCTTCTGGGCAGAACAGAAAGGGTTATTAAAAAAAAAAAAGGGGGAAAAATGAAATGAAAAAAGGAAAAGTCATTTACCACATGGCAAAACACCTTTCTATGCCTAGATATAACATTGAATGCAATCATTTCATCTTGATCTATCCCATTACCCAGCATCGTATTTAAAACGCTCAACAGCATTACAGGCACGAGTCCCCAGGTTAAGAACAGCTTACCAGCCTTTCTTTATACAGCAGTTTATTTGTTCAGAGTGTTTTTCTTCATATTTCACTGCAAGATGTTACCCAATACACAGGTATTGTGAAGCCCAGATTTCCAGGAACTGAGTACACCACTTAAATGCAAAGCCTAACAGCCAACATCAGTATCTTGCCATGTCATATGGAGAAATGTCCACAGCACAGGACAGAGATGTAACTGTTCTATCGACGCTGACAGAACAAAAACTTCTGGTAACTAATCACAACACCTAGCAGTAAAAACTCAAGGTCAACACGAACTCCTGAACTGAAGCCTGTGATGTAAGCCAAACATTTTGAAGCAAGCTATGAGTCCAGCTTACTACCCCATCATGAAAATCATATTCACTTGGACTGCCTTGTGCACAAGAAAACACATGCAGAAATACACCAGACAAACACCAACACTTTGGGTTGTGTGTTCGGGGACGGCCATCATGTAGTCTTTATATTGGTAAACAATTACTCATTCAAGCCTTAAGAATTCAGTGACTAAGTGTTTGTAACAATATAGTAGTTGCACAACACAGCCCTCCACTAGTGTATTTCAGGAGTTCTTTCCAAATTATTCGTATAGAATAGTGGTTTGGTTTCTCAAACAAATAAAGTAGAAAAATGAATTTCTACAGGAGACAAGTTATTTTTACCTTCTTAAAAATCTTTTTCAGTGTTTGTAATGGTGGAAAACAAGTCACTAACTGTAAGCAAGAACAGAACTAATAACAATGTGCCACTGGGAATTAAAGTTCTGTCATCAGCGCTTGAAAAAAATATCTTAAATGGAAACTAAGAAATAAAAAAGAACTTCATTTAAACGCAAAAAATGTTTCCAAAGCACTCTTGGATTTGAAAATATATTTGCTTTGGAAATACGTTTTAAAAGTGTCATGGTTCCTTCCCTCATGAGCACACTGAACAGCGAATGAAGGCCAAGAGTTTAAATGAAATCCACATGAGCTCGATTCCCAAATGGCTTTGGACACTGATGAGAAACGTCTACTCTCCAGCATCTCTCATAGCCACCAAATGTTACAGTTGGAACTGAGGCTGTGTAACAGCAGCGCATAATAGACACAACACAGGACCAAACCCACTACTTATCTGGAGGTTTTTTGGGTTGAGCCTGTGACAATCACCACCTTCAGTATTCTAGACAATAAATTGCATAAGACCTAAAATCTGAGGTTTAGTATTTGATGCAATAAAGCATGGTTCAGCTTCAGCTTTCATTAAAAACAAGCGATGCTATGGTTATGTTCAATTTAGATGACCTTTGGTGAGATAATATTCAGAAAAAATGTAGCTCTTAGTGAAAACTTTTCAAAGAAGCACTAAAATGCTTTAAATTGCCATGTTTAAAGAAAGTCTGCTGTCACAAGCTCACTCAAGTAATGTTTTTTTGGCACTAGTCCTCAGCTGATACAGAAGTCCATGTATTTGTATCTCACAAACTGTGGAGGCCTTTATCACTTTGGAGTCTGTGTGTGTACATTCCAATACAAAAGCAAGTTATAGCGCCCAGCTGCATCAGTCCACCTTGTGAGTGCACTACCCAGAAACTCAGCCATGGCCAACGCTCTACCCACTTCCATCCAGGCATAAATGTAGAATCTGTTTCCAGTCCCTGCGTGCAGCTGTCAAGTAGCCTGAAGTACAACAAATTCAATTTCATTCAGACTGCAAGATATTTACTGTCTTCAAATTGGATAGTGACCCCACAATGCAGGGGAAGGTGCTTGCTGTGCTAGCAGTATTAGCTTTTTAACCATTTTTATTAACAGCAGCACAAGAGGGTTTTATAGCCGCTACATTGCTAAGAATGCAACACCAGCCTTCAGATTAGTTGAATGAAATTAAACCAATGACAGCTTGAGTTCAAACTGAAGAAAGTAACAGGCCCAGATGTAGAGAAGCACCATTCAGCTCCTCTTGGTATAGGACTTTGAGGAATATGGGATAGACACGTACGGATTGGACTCTCTTCAGCTGTTTTGCTGCCTCCCACATTCCATCACAGCCTGTCATGATTTACTCCAAATATATGTGCACTCAAAGTTTTCTAGAGGAAAGTTCATCAGAAGCAAATTAACCAGAAAATAAGTTACAATAGCTTCCCTTTGCCTCAGTAAGGGAGGGTTGATGCTTCCCCTGCTTCATGCTGGAAGGGTTCCAGTGGTATCAGATGGCAGACAACCAAGAAGTGTTCCTTGCTTTGTTTTACTGAGGGTTTGCTGTTTAGTTTTGCTGTAAGCACCTCTCACTGAGTAAGATTACTACCATCAATTTACAGCTACATTTTAAATCACAAAAATTCAGCAGCTACACGACACAGCTGGTGTATTATAAGCAGATGTTGGACTCAACACATTTGCTCTGGTCCTGGTTTTACACACAAGTTTGCATTAAGCTTGGGAATCACTGCCTTAACCATATCAATGGACTAATGAGCAACTATCAGCCCTCAGAGTCCCGCGTCATCACTACCAGAGGTATTCTGAATGTACATGTTTCGATACGGGCACTCCAGAATAAGCAGCAAGTTGAATCAGGCCGCATGGCAAAGGAACATTGCGAGTTAGTATGAAGTTGTGAATCACTCCCAGAGACCTCACAGGCCACCACGTGAAAGCTTTCCAGTTTATGTTTGTGAAATCTATCACAGCAATAGCCTTAATCATCATCCTTAGTATCTGGTCACAGAGGTACGTATGAGTACTCTGTTATTAAGAATCAAGCCAGGACTTCCCAAGAACTTAAAAAAAAATAAATTATAAATGACCAGTGAGCCTACACACTCTGTCCAATAGACAAATCACCTTCCATCGCATCAAACGTACTTGAGATGTTCAGAAGACAAAGCCATTTCATTTTTCAGCCCTGAATCATCTCTTTACAGAAGACTTTAAATTTAATCTGTATCTTCAACCACAAAACTCTTACTTTGACAACTATTACCTTGAAATTATGTCAAATTAACATTCCATTTATTCTGCGCTTCTTTTCCAATTGGTTGTAAGCCCATTTTTTAAAAGAAAGCTCTATTGCTATTATGTTGATAATTAAAAGTCTTCACCCATCCCAAAACCAAAAAAAAAAAAAACAAACAGAAATGAGAAACCCTGAGGACTAAATGGAAAACATAAGCTCCAAAAGCCAGAACTTCAACTAACCAAAACCATTTCAGCCAAGTAACCACAAATTCCTGGATTCATTTTTTCCCCACTTACTACCACTATTGACTTTAGATAGCAGCCTCTTTCCAAATAGAGCTGTACGTACCATTGTAGTGTAACTGCCATTTTTTAGGGGGGTTTTGAAGTGTATTTAGCAACTTCCACCAGGAATTTTACTTGACCACTCCGATTAACATAAAGTGACACCTCAGTTCACCTCTGTTTTCTCTACTTTGACAAGCATTGCACAGTGATCATGCAGGTCAAAACCACCGCTATTTACATGGAGCAAGGATCATATTTAATTGACTGCTATTTTATTGATGAGCTCAGCGTTAATTCTGAACAAACAACTGCTTGCACCCATTTAGTGCAAAAGGCTCATAATTCATAGAATCATAGAATCATAGAATATCCTGAGTTGGAAGGGACCCTTAAGGATCATCAAGTCCAACTCTTGACACCGCACAGGTCTACCCAAAAGTTCAGACCATGTGACATGTGCAATATTCTATCACAAAAAAATAGACAGGAAACTGCAACTGCACCCCTTGGTTGAAGGCTGTCTGTTGCATGCACATTTACACGTGTAAACACTCTCGCTCAACTTGCAGCAATTATAAGCACAAAAATTCAAGTGCTTAGAAAGTGATGTTTCCTTTAAAACACCCCTTCCTTGTAGTACTAGCAAAAAACTTCCAGATATAGAACATACATGCAAAGCTTACTTCCATAGCAATAGTAACTGAACCACAGATAATAGCACAAATACTTTTGCAAACTAACTTAAACACTACAATGTAATTAACACCATTAAACCAATGCCCAACATCCTCAAAATATTACCAATTACTGCTGTCCTTTCTAGTCTTCTTCCCAAAGTTTTCCATTTTGAAATTTGGGTATTTCCTTGCAACATTTACCTTCAGCAGCTGTATTTACACACTTTGTTCACCACTGTTAGCTTAACTGGTAGCGGATTGACCACTTTGGCAAGTGATCCTGAGGACCAGCCACACTGTTCTCTGTAATAGCTACTGACAAGAAAAACTAACTAAAATTATCAGAAACTTTAGCACAGACAAGGCCAGATACTGTTAACCCTAACAAGTGTTTAACTAACCTGTTAGTCCTTGTGAAAGGAGGGCTCAGAGCACCTGAAATAGATACGTTCTCTAAACTACATCCCTCTTGAAGATGGGTCACGTGGGGGATCTAAGTCTTTTTTTCTTTAAAATGACTCGATCGAGTGTTTTAATTTTAAAGTCTACCTACTGCAGCAACCAGAACAGCCCTGGCTTTTGCCTATCGCTCAAATACTGCGAGCAGGAACCCAACGGAAGATCAGTGGCGCACCCAAGAACCCTAGGACCGAGCACTGATTTCACCTTACGCCTTCCAACCGAGATGCTCTGCTTCGGGATCGTCTGCGAAACAAAATTTTCGTTACTTCTGAGCTTAGAGATCAATTATTCGATGGGGACACACTCACGGTGAGCATGAAACCACGGGACGTTGCACCTCTAAATAAACACGAGCCTAAAACACACACCACACACCCACCCGGCGCTCCCGAGCCCAAGAAGGCGGCTGAGAAGCGTTCGTGAGGGGAAAGGAGCCGAGGGGGCCCCGCACCCCCTCACCCCTCCGTGAGGCGAGGCCCGGCCCCGCCGCCACCCACCTGCGCCTCCTCCCAGGGCGGCAGCCATGGCTCCTCGCCTCACCCCGGCCGGCTCCCCACACCTCCTCCGAGCCCCGAGCCGCCCTCCGGGGAGCGTTGGGACGGGGGCAAGGCCCCTGGGGAAGGGCCCGGCTTCAGCGCCCGGCGGCCGCCCCTCAGCGCGGCCCGGCCGCAGGAGAACAACAAACTACCACAACATGGCGGCCGCCGCCGCTGTCGCCGCCGCTGTCGCCGCCGCCGCGTTGCATGCCGGGACGGCGGCGGACCGGCCCTGCCCCCGCGGGGGAGGGGAGGAGGGGAGGGGAGGGTGGTGGGCGCCGCGGGTTGGTCAGCCCCGCGCCTTGTGCGCATGCGCCTCGCTCCCTCCCCTCGGCTCAGCAGGCCGGGTGGAGGGGGCGGGAGTGCGCATGTGCAGAGGGAGCGGGGGAGGATCAGGGAGGGGAGGGGTGCGCATGCGCAGTGCGGGTGGTGGGGCTGGCGGGGGGCGGTGGGTGTCATGGCGGCCTGCGAGGCGCGCATGGGAGCTTGGAGCGTGGGGAGGGCTGAGGGGATGCGGCTGGGCGGGTGCTGCTCCTCGCCCCGCACACGGCTCTGTGGCACAAGGGCCTGCTCAGGCTGTGTGGGGCAGCGCTGAAGTGTCCCGTTCATGTTAGGTTACACCACTGCTTCAGGAGGCTGGAGGTTTTGCCTGAAACCCTGTTTGCAGCTGCGGTTACATGAGGAGGGAAAATAATTAGCCACAGGGTTAAATATACCCCAAAAGGGTTGATTCCTGTTACAAGTGGTTCTCTGTCCTTCAGGGTTTGAGTGTGTGGGGAAGCCTAGGCTTGGTTAAACAGTGATCACTCATGTAGGTCCTGCTTGCATCTCCGCTCACTGCCTCACCTCTGTGCGTGTTCTTACTTTGCACGTTCAATGTCACAACACGCTAAATCCAATTTCATTGCAGGCTAAACATCTTTCTCTGCCACCCTTTCTGTTGAGTGCTTCCCTCTTGGCTTAACCGTGCTCTCCCTTGTTCCGAAGGCCTAGCGCTCCTGTGCTTACAGGGCGGATCAGTTCCCTAATCCCAAAGGAAAGTAAGCCACCAAAAGGAGAAGTTCGTTTTCTTACCAATGGGACAACAGAACTCGCAGCATTACCCACACACCACACTAAACACGGTATAAAAATGTGCCTCGGTACACAACAAACTTAGTTTATACTCCTCGTGAAGAAGCCTGATCTGCACTAAAGCAATTTAATGGAGCCTCGTATAACAAGACTAGTTCAAGTAACCGGCAAAACTTTCCCAGGTGGATAAGTCCTCATGGAAATAATTAACAATGTTAGTATTTAAATTATCGACATTATCTGATTAAACCCACGCTATGAGAATAGAGAAGTTCTCATGTCACTTTGTTCCAGGCTCCCTGCGGACTCATCTCTGCATTGCATTTGGTCTCATTTTTTAGCTTTGCTTCACAACTGTATGGCTAGAGATTTATTCTTTATATATTACTGCAAACTCACAGCCAAATTCTGACTTTAATTTAGGAAACAGACCATCAGTAGTTGCTGGTAATTTAATACATAGTCCATCTGTCCAGCTCTGACTGCCTTACATGGAGGTAGTAAGTGAAATGTGAACACTACTGTCAGTGGCAAAAACTAGGGTGATTTCTGTGGGACTGGAATTTCAGCCATCACGTCTTGATATCCATTTTTCTTTTGGGTATCTGTTTTGCAAAACAAAAGGATTCCCTGGCATGGGAGGGAGTTTTGTGGTCTCTTTAAAGGCTGCATGGCAAGAATCAGCCAGTCTCGGAAGTAGATTTGTTGCAATTCACAACTCTCTTGTCATAATTCTCTGTATTTTCTCTGGCTGAGGCTAGGAAATGAAATATTAGCTGTAAGCAGTATGCACAGTGAGCATCTGAGTGACATTCAGATATGTAAAAGTATATTTGATAGGTATTCAATGCTCTATATTTATGCTTATTTTAATAGCTGATTTGACTTTTTGTGACTATCAATCCAAATGCAAATCAAGTTACCATACATTTCCTTGCATATGCTTAACACAGCTATTAAAGAGGAATAGCAGGATAGTTCACTATAGCTATTTGATAGTATATGGGTCCTTAAATTATTTTGTACATCTCTGGTACAAAAAATAGTGGTCATTTCCAGATGTTTGATCAGCAGTTGTGGAACGGGGACCCAACTTACAATGACAGAAACAAGTATAGTGGCTGTACTCCCCTTCACTCAGGACTTTCCTCTCTGTGAATTTTCAAATTCCAGGTGCCATAATTGCTCTGAATTCTACTTAAAAAACTCCAACTCAGTACTATCCAACCTGTGCTATAAAATGCCAGAGCCCTTTCTGTTGGGGGGTTGACATTCTTGCCCCCTTCTGGAAGTTTTAAATCCATGAATTAAAGTGACTTCATGTGAACTGATCATCAGTTTATTAAATACTTCTGAAAAAGATTTATTATAAAAAAAAGATTTATTTGTCAGCATGTCTTCCAAAGCAATTCCAGCTATGATTGGGAATCCTACAGATTGTCTTGCAAGAGGATTAAGTAAACAACTGAGCCAGAACTCAAGAAACCTGTAACCCCAGCTTTGCACTGACATGCTGCATTACTGGGGCAGGTTACCTTGCATCTGCTGCAAGAGATTTCCTTCTGAAAAATGGGGAGAATAATGCCAAACTATTTTTTTTTCTGATTGAAATCTTCCAAATTATTATTTTTGTGTGCATGTCCTAACTTCTCTATATTAAGCTGCTTTTTCGACTGCAGTACATGATAACAGTTTTATTTACACTAGTTTGAGATTTCATTTTTTTTCCCCAAAACACTCAGTAACTTATTTTCGGAACAGATGGTTTGTTTTTGATCTGTTTGTTTGTTTTTCATTTAAATTATTTATTTTTTTTTACACACACACTCAAGTGGTTAAAAAGCCATCAGTAAATCTAGTAAAGCACAATTCCAAGTTTAATTCCATTAAACGCTTAATATAAAGAAAGTGAGAACAGTGTTATCGGCAGCAAACAGCTCCTAATTCCTTAGAGAAAATATCTTTCTGGCTTATCTTTTACCACAGTGATCTCTTCATGAGCTTTCATTCTAGTCCCACTTGTTGTGGCAAAACCAGGCTGCACATCTTGGTTTCCATAGTGTGGGAGGATGGGTTTGTAGGGTTGGGTAGTGGTGTTCTTGTGCTGAGCCTCTCCTGCCTCTCAAAGGGGTGTCTAACTCTGAGGCACCTCTCTCTGTGTGAGGTTAAGCCTGTTTTCAGACTCGTTCTTCCAAATCAGACATTGAACTGGTGTTTGATTATTTCAGCCTGTAACGAAGCAAATGTTCTGTTGCACCTGACAGGAAATTCTGCATTTAAAGTGTTCAAAGGGGGGATGTGAAAGCATATTTGCTCCCTTATAGGTGCATTCTTTGTGTAAGACCTATTGGCAAAGGCAGCAGCCCTCAGAGCCTGCAGTACCTCCTCAAAGATATATGCAGATGAAATAAATCTTTTCTTTGAACATACTCCAGAGAAGGGCAAAAGTAGAGATAGAAATAGAAAGGACTTTGAAAACAAATAGGTGTCTTCATGAAGGAGAATAGTATGAGGATTAAAATGAAAATATAAGAAAAAAAATGTGATAAATTGTGAACAGAAACATTTAGAGTGTAAACCAGATGTGGTTTCAGAACTGCAGCTGGTGTTCACATAAATCAGCTTTTGTTATAGCTGTAATTTTCACTGTTTTCTTTCCCCCTCCTTGTTACTTATTTACCCACTTGTTGCAGCTTATCTACCTTGTTGACTGCGATCTACTTGACGCATCTTATTTTGGTCAGAGCAACATGACCCAAGGACTGCTGAAACAGCTGCTAGGGAGAAGAATAGGAGGCCTTCTGTGCTGAGAAATGGTCTAAACAAGCTGATGTGTCTGTCAAGTGTATTATTAATGTGTATTGTGTGGAGTCCCTGGAAAGCTGGTCAGCCACCAAAGATCCAAATCTCAACAGAATGAATGCACTGTTGAAGTAGGCTGTAAAATATATAAATTATTACCAGCACCAGCCCAGGCAGAAGGATATAAATTACAGTCTGGGCTTGATAGCAGCAGCCAGCGAGCAAGGCAGAAGGGGAGTGAAGTAATACTGGCCTCCAGATATCCAAGAAGCACAGCCACAAATTTAACTCAGCGTGACATTTGTCTCATATGCATCCCTTGGCTGATTCCCTGTGAACCAAAGGGGAAGGTGCAGCAGGACATCTGCGTACACAGGGAGCTTTAGGCTGTAGCTCTGGCTTCTGGTATTGCTTTGAGCATCAGTTTTTACAATATTTAGTGATATGGACAAAAGAAGTCAAGAAACTACAGAGGAACCTAGGTGTGAAATGTATTATAAATTGTACTTATATATATATATACTTATATTTTCAGTTTGGACCCTGTAAGTCTTACTGATGAAGCCTTTGCTATGTTTTATCAGAAGCCATCTGGTGTCAGGGGCAGCAGGTGAATCAGAGTGAAGCTGACACATATAAGGCAGTCCTGCCTCACAAGCATGACTCAGAATAAAGTGTAAAATGTCTGAAATGTCCCATTCTTAGGCAAGAGAGCTGTACCCCATGATAAACTCATCAGAATAAGTGATGGTTAGAAGTGTTTCTTGAGGTTTCCTGACAAGGTGTCAATGTAAGTCATCATTGGCCCTGCCCAGATGCTGAGTTTTGGGAAGGACTTTCTTTCTCTGGACCCAGGCTGGCCTACATCACTCTGTAAGGAGTGAAAAGACAAATGACGACTCCAGGCAAACCTCAAAGCATCACAAGCAGTGTTAGTGGCCCAGGATCTTGTGGTCCCATAGCTGTGAGCAAAGCCCTGTGCTCTCTGGAGCCCCTTTGAACTTAGAGACATTCTGCACAGGTACCAAATGTTAGCTGTAATACGTGAACTTCCAGATCACAGCTTATGTTCCTAAAAACTCCTCATACCAGAAGGCTATAATCCTGTTAAGGGCCTCCGGGAGCTACTGCAATGCAAATAATAGTAGCAATAATTAGCTCTGCTTTAATTGATACTGTGTATTCCTCAAATGTCAATGAAAATTTACTTTGCTAAGCCAACAATTTCTCCCCTGGAACTTTACTGGCTTTTCTAGAATTACACAAGGGGTGAATTTGGATCATTGTTGGTTCCTGGCATAAATTATCAGCTGTTGATTCTTTGCCCTTTAAAACTTGGCAAGCATACAGGAAG